ATTTAGGTCCAATACCAAAACCATTCAAGTGTCAGTATTGTGACCATCATTTTGCGAGAAAGCCTGATTGTAAAAGACATGAAAATAAACATACCGAAGAAAGAACATTTGTCTGTGGGGGATATTTAAAAGATGGCACAAAATGGGGTTGTGGACACGTTTTTTCTAGGTTGGATTGTTTACGAAATCATTACACAACTGCTCAGGGAATCGAATGTAAGAGACCTTTCTTGGAAGAAGAAGAACGTGATAGTCAAAAATAATGGTGTTGAAGAGAAGCTACTTGGTGGATGTGTTTATTTATTGTTTATATGTTATTTATTATAACTCTCTTACAGAGTTCTACACGTTATAGAAATTATAAAATACAATTGATAGATTTTAGAATAAATTATAATAATGATTGTAGTATTCATTTCTTTGTATCTAAAATTATTTCGGTCCGTTGTAATAGTTGCAAAAACCGTTGCAAAAGAAACTAATATACGGACCGATTAATCAAAAAACTTTCTTGTTCAAAAGTGGGCTAAGCTAAAGCGAATGACATCGGAGTTATTCTTTAATTTTTAAGTTGAATGACGTCAACATTTGACATGGAATGTACGGCTGACTAAAGAAATTGCTTGCACATGCTACCCTTACCCTCAGAACGGATCCCGAATCAATTTGGTGTTACCAGATTCTTATCTTTAGTGGGGCAACTCGGTTAAAGTAGACTTTCGTTCAAAAATACGTATGATAAGGCAGTTATTCATATCGAATCAATCATTGTGACCCTATCGGAGTTTAATAGACGAGATTTATCACTCCGATTAGTGGGGGAGGGGTTGACTCACGGTTCCAATGGGATTTCTCCTCAAAAAATAGTGTACTTTACGAATATAATGTATACTTTTAAAAGAACAAAGAAATCTGAAGAACTGGAAATGAAATTGGCGAATAAATGCACTCCTGCAGTATTATTACAATACTTCATTGTTTCAATCCGAAAGGGATCTCAGGTCCATTGTTTTTTAAAAAAGTGGTTCAAGGAGTTGTCACGCGTCGTTCCAAAATTAGATTCCATACCCAAATAAATCTTGGCTCTCTGTCATGTTTCCTGTTGTTCTTTTTTTGTAGGTACTTTGATTCACTTAATGTTTTGCTTACCAATACCTATGCTGCAAAAAATATTACATTAAATGCAATTCTTATGAAGAAATCGTGCAATAGTAGTCGCAATTAATATTGCAATTGAGATTTTGCTGCGCCCTGTTTTTAACATTTTGCAATTTTTTTTTGTCATGATAGCATTATTTTTTAGGCAAGAAACGGTTCAGGAAAAATATTTTAAGCGATTGGTTTATTTTCTCGAAAAAAAAATGTATGATTCGGAACAACTTAAAATTTCTGTTGATTAATTTATTACGAAAAGGTTTAATTATAATTAGAGTCATGATAAATAATCATCTATTATCAAAGAAAGTTTGAATGACCTCTAAGTACAATTGATAAAGAAAAGTAATCAGCTAATAAATTTCCAAGAGATAACTTCAGTAACTGTGGAGAAAGTAACAAAGCCTAACTAAACCATTATGCCAATCAAGTTCCAGTTTATCCTTTCCCATATATGACGTTGAGGATGTCAATTTCCATTTGATGAATAACAAATCAATACCTTTTTTGCTTACTAACACTTACTAAAACCAAAGTCTAAATGCCAGATCGCTCCGAAATTTTCTGGGGACCTTGATATTCACTTACTTGAAAATGTTAGTAAGTGTGCACTAATAAAAAAAATTTTTTTTATATTTTAAAGTTAAGCTTTTATTTTCTTTGCCCATTACATATAATCGGATTCATGACCTACATTGCCCGTTTGCTTTTGGTATGTAATTTGATTTATAGATCAATTGAGAGTATACTTGATCCATGTCATCAAGATACAATCCTATCCCTAGAGAAAATACAGGGTGACAGTAACAATAAACGAGATATTCAAGAGAAGAAAACGCAAAATGGAAACAATTTAAATCCATTGAAATGTAATGCAGTAAGGAATAATAAATAAAATAAATTGATACTGAAAAAATAATTGAGTTAATTGTTTGGTCTGGATGTGATTTGTTTTTGTATTTATTTTTTTGGTTGTGAGATTTTTTGTGTCTGAATTGCACTAATATAAAAAGTGTGGTTTTTGGTCTGTTCTTTTTTTTAATTTTTATAATATTTTTTTATAGACAAGGTACACGAACTTTTTAGTGATTAAAATTATTTTCATTTAAAGACAGTCAATTTTCCTTTTAGTAAAAATCCGATAAATCCCTCAAGGGAATTTGACAGACAGACAATTCAATCTAAATCTATTTTAAGTTTCTAAGAACACTTCCGTTCAAGACATAAACAGAGCTAGTGTCTGTTTATATATATATATATTTTTTTTGTTTTCGTACAACAGACAGACAGACAGGAAGTTCATATTATAGTTGGTGTTTTTAATGATGTCATCATCCAATCAATATGTTCAAAAGGATGAAGATCAATTGTACGACATTCTAAATTTATCACCACCAGCCATCGTTGTTAAACCATCATCTACAAGCGAGTCGTGGGACACTACCAATTTGATAAATGATACTGTGGGAGTTAATGGGGGTCAGGGGATGAACTATCAACAACAGCAGCAACAAATGAAAGAAGAATCAAATTACAACATTCAAACCAAACATGATGATGTTAGTCTGTATCTTTTCAATCAACAACGGATGCATTCAAATGAATCCAATAACAATGATTTCGAACCTCCTCCAGCCCCAGTTGAAGAATTAACTAACGATCCATTACCAGATTTGAGTAACTACGGAACTGCAATGTATCAGAATGACGATACAGCATCTGACATTTCATTGAATACTTCCAATATGCCAAGGTTTAGTTCAACTTCAACTACTAATGATTATCTTTCACCTACATCATTATTTGCTGGCCATCAATTCAGTGGTCAAACAACCCCTAGACAGTCACTGTTTAGTCACCAACCGTCTCAGCTTCAAGGTTCAAATAGGTTAGTGATTCCCAGGTCCCCATCTACCCATTCTGTATATTCCGAGACATCAACCCATCCGGCATCTCCATATCTCCAACCACTGGGGTCTTCTCATAATCTAGAGGCACAACCCCCACAAACCTACAACTCAGCGTTATCCGACGTGGGTGATCAGCCACAGAATATGTTCTTGCCAGATCAACAATACTTAGAATCTGTACCAGTTAACAATTTCATCCATTCGGAAATTGCACTTGGTGAATCCATCAGTTCAACAAATTTGGCTAACTTGGATAGTGTTGATACGACATCATGGCAACCTACAATGTCACAGAGACAACAACACGAAGAATTTCAAGAGTTGTCCTTCAAGGTCCAGAATCAACAAAGACAATACCAATTCCAGCAACTGCAACAACAACAGCAACCGCAAATGCAACAACACCCAGTGCAACAGGTACCGCAACCGCAGATTCAACCGGAAGATTTCTTTTATACCGATAAGGAAAATATGATGGGCGTTGATTTTGATATCACCGTCACGCCTCCACCATTTCTTGATTCAGCATTTGCTTCGTCAAGATTTAACCAATTTGAAACCATAAGCAATGCAGCCACCAATAATTCAAATACCATCCAGCAGAGCAATCCATTAACCGAAAACAATTTATCCAATTATACCAGTCAATTACAACAAGATAATACTCAAGGAGAGGAGCTGGGTATTATTATATCTATCCATCAAGCTCCGGAAGAATTCGCGGCTAAGACTCCATCGTTGTTTAGTAATTCTTCTGCGAATTCGTCACTACGTGGTCGGAATAATAATTCAAGTAGTAATCTTATCCCCAATGCACAGCTTATACCGTCTTCACCCGCGGGTGGGGGGTCGAATAAATCCCAAGATCAATCACGAGAGAAAGATCTTCTTGATCCAACCTACCAAGCAGTCAAAAGAGGACGAAGAAAGAGTCATTCACAAAGAAGTGTTAGCGGGTCGAAATCCCCAAGACGACGGTCCTCATCTCGATATACTGAAGACGAGGATAGCCAAGATGAAGATGAGAGTGATTCCGACGACGAAGGTACCGGGAATAAATTGGCCAGAGAGAAGATATTAGAACTTGCATCGCCGAATCAATCATCCAAAAGAACTCAAAAACATCCAAGTATTTATTCTTGTCATTTATGTGATAAACGATTCACTAGACCTTACAATTTGAAATCCCATTTACGTACCCATACTGATGAAAGACCATTTATTTGTTCGACATGTGGCAAAGCATTCGCGAGACAACATGATAGGAAGCGACATGAGGATTTACATTCTGGAGAGAAGAAATATCAATGTCGTGGATATTTGAAGGATGGAAGTCAGTATGGATGTGGAAGAAGATTTGCCAGGGCAGATGCTTTGAGAAGACATTTCCAGACTGAGGCAGGAAAACAATGTATTCGACTGTTGATGGAGGAGGAAGAGTTGGAGAAGATGATCAGAAGAGGGGATGGAATGGAAGAGGATGAAGAGAATAATAATAACAGTAATGATAGTTCAATGATGAATATCCCGCTGGTGGATATTACGCCGCCGCTATGATGTTGATATGTTTGTATGATTAGTTGTTAGATTGATTTTTTATATATTTATTTATGTCTTTGTATTGAATATTATGAAATATGCAAATTTCGTTAGTGGTCAGTACTAATTAATCTCTGGGTTGACATATTCAGTTCGAGAGAATTGATGTCCTCGTACGATCAGGCGCGCCATTGGTACTAACTGTAGTACGGGAAGATCTAACGAAAAAAACAGACTGATAATTTTTTCATACAGATCAGCCCAACCCATCAATCGATTGTAGACCTCAATCTCCCTGTCATGTCAAAAGGACCTCAAGATGATGACTTTATGGAAAACATAAAGTATGCCAATAACAGCAAAGATTCCAAACTATCCGATTCAGAAAAGGAATTAATCAAATTACAACAAGAAAAGGAACAATTCTTACAACAACAAAACCATCAATTTCTTGAACAATTATTCAAAGAAAACAGTACGACTCCAATCAAGATCCAAAATGTCCAGACTACAAATTCTCAATCATTTCGTGATTCCTTCTTAGCAAAACAACTTCAGCCATTATTGCAAAGTGATAATACTGTGGTTAGTCTTGAGAAATTCTTGGGAGATATTGATGGTGTGCTGAAAAATTTCGCTAAATCAGGTACGATTGAGAACTTATTAGTTTCTGTCCATGCCATAAATCCACAAACTTCGATATTCAGAAGAAGAAATACCAAACCTGATACTATTAATATTGTTCCTGTTTTCAATTTAGTCCCCATTAAACGATTCTTTGCCAAAACCGGTACGAATATTGGAAATGGTGAAGGAGATGGATATATTCAATTTCAATTACGGAATTTATTTGGAGGTGGAGAGAATTTAGAATTTGATGCTACAAGTGGTACGAAAACCCAGTCCTCATATTTGATCAATTATAATCAACCATTGTTTAATAATGTGAATTATATGAGTGAGAATTTATTTTACGTAAATGAACGGAAATCGGATTGGATTCAATCGAGAGTAAAAGGGAGAGGGATGACAAATAAGATATATACGAGATTTGAGAAATTGAATCATGAGGTGATATTGGAAAATTATTGGAAATTGTTGGATAATTATGGAAGCAAGAGTTTGGAAGTATTAAGTCAATCAGGAAGTTCATATAAATCATCAATTGCATATAATTTAATCTATGATTCCAGGAATAATAAAACCTTACCTACTTGTGGGAAATTTTTCCAAATTGGTTTAGAATATAATGGATTATTCAAATTTAATAAATATCCATATTTCAAAACTGCTGGTCAATTCCAATTGAATTATAATTTACCTTGGATTAATTCAACTATTCTTACAACTTCCAAATTTGGTATTCTTTATCCATTCACCAATACCAGTTCCTTATTGGATCGCTTCTACATTGGGGGTCCTAATGACGTTAGATCATTTATGATGAATGGATTAGGTCCCAAGGATTATAATGCCTCAATTGGTGGGGATATGTTTCTTAATGGTGGTGTTTCATTAATATCAAAGATCCCAAGATTGGATCCAGAATCTAATTTTAGGATTCATAATTTTATAAATTGGGGTAGATTGGTTAAGATGCAACAATATCAAGGTATGACTGATAATCTTAAACAATTGTTTCATTCACATTCTGTGACTTATGGTATTGGAATATTGTTCAATCATCCAATGGCAAGATTTGAATTGAATGTTGTGGTTCCTTTAGTTGCACATGAAACTGATTCCGTAAGAAAGGGAATTCAATATGGTATTGGTGTTTCATTTTTGTAAATAATAATAGACATAGAGACATATATATACACACACATAATTTATAATAAATAGACAATCAACTAATTGGCAAAGGCAAAACTAATCTTTATGTTGGGCAACCCATTGATCATGATATTTGATAACTTGAGGAATCATCTTGACTTCAATTTCAACATGTTTGGCAACTTCTTCATCACTTAATCTAATCCATTCATTTCCTTGATCAGGAGTCACAAACACAACTTCCTTCTTTCTTGTTTGTAATAAATTACCAATGACTAATTGATGGTGATATCTATCCAATGCAGTTTGCGCCTTTTGTATCAATATATTTGAATCAGTTTCTAATTTGAATGAAACAAACATGGCTCCTTGACACCAGTTATCAACCAAACGAGATAAAAATTTCGGCACTTGAGATAAATTGATAATCAAATGACCATCTGTAGTTGCTGAACTTTGAATCTTGTGTTGAGGCATTCTTGATTGTGGAATAAAGAAATCAGAAACAGCTGCAGCCAAATAAAACAATGCTTTACTCTTTAAAGCATGCAATGCTTCAGCTGAGACTTTCAAAGTATATAAATATTGATTAACAGTTGTGAATGGAATACACAATAATGAATTGGTGGATTGAGCTTGATTATACTTTCTTAAAACTTCCAACATTTCATCAGCAAATTCAGGACTAATTTCAATCTTATTGTCTCGTTCAGTCATAAAATCCAAAAAGCAATTAGTGGAATGACTGTAATGTCTTGAATAAGGTTGTAATGAATATTCACGATGTAAGAATATCACAGCATATCCATGTTCCAAGAAATATTCAGCAGAAGTTGCACCTCTAGTACCAGCACTAAAATTATCAATAAATCTAACAGTATTATTTTCCAATGGAACAGTAGTACCACCAGATGTAACTAAGACAATTCTCTTCCCGCTATTTTCTAAATGATAATTAACAAATTCTTTAAGTTCTTGTTCAATTTCTGGTAAATATGATGGAGGCTCATGATTTCTAAAATATCTATCTTCATCTGATATTTGAGCCGCTTCAAATTCTGGGATACGACGGTCAATGGCAGCAGAAGTATCTGGAAATGAAGTATGGAATTGTTTAGTATGAACTGGAGTCATTGTGTTTAATTGGTGTATAATTTGAAATAATAGAGCAAGTAGTGATGTCGATGAAGTAGAAGATGAATCGTGGGGGTGGTGATGGTGGTGGTAGGAATTTTTTATTATTTGTTCGGGACGGCCGTTCAATTTCTTTTTTACTTGGTGGTGTCATTTATATTCTTTTTATTTTTTATTCGTTGGGAACAAATTTGAGTCGCTCGGTTAAATTGGTTTGCTTCTTTTTTTTTTTTCTTTGCGTCGTTTGGATTGGGATTGCTTTCCCGTTCTAACCGTTTCCCCGTTTTAGAGTGAGCGTAGGAGTATTTCCATTTAACAAAGAGAAAATGCTTATTAAACTACAAAATCAGTACTCCCCCCTAAATAGTGAGTACTTCGTAAAGAAATCTCCAATTGAGTAAGAGATTTTTTGATAAAATGTAAAGAAGCTAACCTTAAAAATTGTCCAATACTCAGAACTCTGAATGTGGGTGTGGGGGAGAATTATAAATGTGGGAAAGTGTGAAACCACACGGAAAAATAAATTGTTCAAGGAATAATTAGGGAAGGTGGTTTAAATTTCCTTTAGTTAAGATCTATGCTATTCCATACGCAACGTGTGCCAACTTACAGACCTTGTATGTGTTGTGTATTTGAGTTCAATTACTATCCTGCTGCCATTTCTTCTTGATGGCTTTTGTTTCCATACTTATAGAGATGTCTTCTCTAGACACCTAACTAAAGATTTCGATCACGCAGTGAGTAGCGTGATAGCTCAGGCAAATGTTATGTTAATAGTACAAAAAAGACCAACTTGTATACAAATCTAGAGTCTGAAGCTTCATTGCTGTGATGCTTCATAGGTCTTTGTATTACAAGTTCGACAAGTACTTGTCGTTGTCAATACTCTTAGCATAACTTATGTCCTGACCTGTTGCCTTGTTTCAACTTGATCGAGTTTTTTGGTTTAGAATATGCTGCTTGTCACCACTACTACATATTTCAAGAAACATGTGACAGGAAGGAAACTTTTTAGCTCAGATTCGTAAACAACTTTTTACACTGCTCGTACGAGGGTTGGTATAAGCGATACATGGGGATCTTTGTATGGAAATTAATAACTACAATGACGTATATGTTTGCAAATGGTTTTCACATATATAGAGCTACTATAGATTAAGACCCAAGGTGATAACTAACAGCCAAGACCGGGATATGCAATCCGACTGCGAGGTCGCGAACCTCAACAGTCTGTCTTGAGGAGTCTTGTTTATCAATGGGCAAGAGTCAAGATGTGAATCAAACAACAATTACGGTTGTATTTTATCTTATATATTTGGTGATTCTATTTAGATAACGTAGTGTAGATAAGAGAACATTCTCCTTGCTTCTATATCAGATGCTGTTGAAAACAGCTGTAAGCTTACATATGGCTAGTACGTAGTATTACATGAATATGGGTGTATTTCATAATAGACACAGAACAGCCACGATCTTAATAAGTTTTTATTTTCGTTAAAATTGTTGCAAAAAATACTTGGAAAACTTTAAATTACCATATTGAATGAAAGATTCAACCTAATTCGAATTCATGCGACTAGATTTTTCATAGGCTTATATTAGCCCCTAACATTTGGAAAGCTTTTAGTACCCTTCTTATTGAATCCATGTCACCCATGTCGGTATGTAACACATCTGATCTTTCACCAATGTACATATGGTAGCCACTCTTTTTTTGTCTGTGTTTGAATTGTTCTTCCCCATTTTGAGTTTCACGCACAGAAAAAACGTTGCAGCGTTCCACCTTTCCAAAGAAAGAACTTCCAGACATCCAGACAAGCTAACGTATGAATATTCTATAACAAGAAAGTACTTTTAGAAACAAAAGTGAAGGCTTACAATATAATCAATCATATATATATAACATAACCACAAAGAAAAATGTCTGCAGATTTTTGGAATTCATCTCAACGGAATAAATGGCAACTGACTCGATTTTCATTATTAGAGGCTCGTAGGAAAGTTCTCATTTTAGAGAGGAAAATGATTCAAAATGGATTAATTAAAGATTATCCTAATATCAATTATGATTATAATATGAGAATCTATTTACATAATTTATTAATTAAATTAGGTCGAAGATTAAATATTAGACAGATTGTATTAGCTACCGCTGAAGTATATTTAACTAGATTCTTAACTCGAGTACTGTTGAAAGAAATTAATGTCTATTTATTAGTGACTACTTGTTTATATGTTGCTTGTAAGATTGAAGAATGTCCTCAACATATTCGACTAATTATATCAGAAGCAAGAAATATTTGGCCAGAATATATTCCTCATGATGTTACGAAATTAGCGGAATTTGAATTTTATTTAATTGAAGAAATGGATCTGTATTTATTATTGCATCATCCTTATAAATCATTAATTCAGATTAAGAACTATCTTGAGGATAATTATATGATTTATGGATTTAAATTAACCGAAGAAGAATTACAAAATGCTTGGAGTTTAATCAATGATAGTTATATCACCGATATTCACCTCCTATTACCACCACATATAATCGCAATTGCCGCGATCTATATCACAATCGTACTCAAAAAGAACCTCTCTCAGATCAGAAGTGGATCCACCAACGAAGAATCTAAATCCATTCAAGGCAATCCACGACAAGATTCTGCCTCACATAGTATTGACAATAAGGAAATGAATATAGACGATCTAATGGACCTATCCACCGCCACAACTACCACCACCTCCATCTCCAAATCGGGCGTACAACATAATCAAATCCTGCCGGCATCAGGGTCACTTCTAAACACCACCCCACAAAAAATCATCCAATCCCCAAATAAACCTGATTCAAACCCCACAACAACCACGAATTTCCAGGATGATTTGAATATATTGGATGAAGATACGATCAAGATTAATAAATTTATGAATTTCTTGAGTCATTCCCATATTAATCTAGATGAAGTTGTGGAGGCTATGCAAGATATGGTGAATATCTATGTTTTATGGAATCGATATAATGAACAGGCGGTGAAGAAGTCATTACAGATTATGTTGCTAAGTAGGATTTAACCCTGAAAGTTGTTGAACAAATTTTGAAGGGATGTTAGATTTGGATTGGACTACATAGGAGTGATTATAGAAACGGGTTTGAGGGGGGGTTGTAGTTTGAGAGAGTAGGGAACATTTTGGGATTGAATGGAAGGGGTGAATCAAGTGTGATTAGATTTTGTACTATAGATAACTAGCTGTACGAATAACTATTTGAAAGAGATCAGGCTTCTTAGTAGAGTAGGTTCTCTGTGAGACAGTATCAGTAAAACAATGACTGCAAGTCACAATGTGTGGTAGGTTTATAGGAATCATTATATAGTTAATTTATATAGATGCCTACATAAATTTTTATTAAAAGCAAGTAATTTAGATCGCTTATAGCTTCTCATATGAGCTTAAGATCAATGATTCCATGGAGGTAGTGCATGTTAGCAAAAGTTGAATGGTAACAAAAGCACAAAGATCTGTAGTGTAACCTGAGCCGAACCGAATACTAATACTTTCTATGTTTCTATTCATGAAAAGACTAAGTAGCAGTCCCATTAAACAGTAGTGTATAGATACTCTACTTTGTTTAGTATAATTTGTAGTATATTTAGTTGGCCAATCTTGTATGCTGCTGCAAAAAAAAGTTATCACCGAGTATTGAAAACAAAAATAAAAGCCTCCCGGAGAGATTCTACACCCCAGCCTAAAAGAGCAAGCTAATTGATACAGGAAGCCACCTGGTTCTAGCAAGGATTCAACCCATTGATGATATTCTGGAATGATATAATTATCATGTGGGAATTGAAAACAAAGCTTTGATTTGATCTTTTGTTCCAAAAGTAACACAAAGTTGTATGTCCGATAAATGGGTATTGAAGCATTCCGATGTTAAATCAAAGTAGATGCAATATAACTCGGATACAAAAGTGCTAGATACCAATACTCACTTTGCAGTCTTCATACATGTCATCAATAGAGTTGCTCGTATATAACTTGTCATAGGTTAGTATGCACTAGACAGCGATACCAAATGATAAAATGGTTTTCAATCTCCACAATCAATTCCGGTTATTTTTTAATTGTTGAAATTTATTTGTCGGATATTTTGAAATGTTAAAAAATAAATTTAAATTTTTCGTGAAAAAAAAAAAAAAAAAATTTAAGAAAAAAAAGTTTATCGTACGAATTTCTTCTTCGACAACCAACAATAATCTTTTTCACTTACTCACTCACTCATTCACTACCCACTAATAGCCACCCACCAACAACCACCCAACCAACCAACAAAAAAAAAAAATTTCAACTAAGAAACACGACAATCCTTTTTCTTTTCTTTTCTTTTCTTTCTTTCTTGTTTCTTTAGTACAGATATATATATATATAATATAATATAGACATACACTACAACCTTATTGGGATACCAACTTCACACGTCTCCAATACCACCCAATCCCCCCTTTTTTTTGTTCATTTTTATATCTTACTAATTATACAAGTCAAGTTACACCTTAAGTAACTTATTCGTATTTATTTTTCCCACCTCAACCAACCTAACCAAACGCCCCACTTCCATTTTTTCATCAATCACACATATCACCATCAGTTAACAAACTACCTTTGGTACTGATATTTATTATTATTAATTATATAATCCAACTTGTTTATTTCTTGTCCAAATCCTTGAAATAATCCTCCTTCCCCAAATCAACATTAGTTCTTTCTTTCTTTTTTTTTCCATTTTATCAAATAGAATATTTCACGTGTTCACCACTCCTATCACTTTGTAAATATGACTGAAACCAAACCAGAACAAACAACTCCTGCAGTTGAAGAACCAACTCAACAACCACAAAAACCATCAGTTGAACCACAAGTTGAAACTGAAAAAACCAATACCGAGGATCAACAACAATCTCAACCTCAACAACAACAGCCTACTCCTGCTGCTACTCCTGTTCCTGCAACTGCTCCTGCCTCTGCTAAGGAAGGTGGACGTGAAACTTCAGACAAGATCTTATATGTTGGAAGTTTACATAAATCAGTTTCAGAAGATATGTTAAAGGATTTATTTTCAGTTGCTGGACAAATCAAAACTGTTAAAATATTGAATGATAAAAATAAGCCAGGGTTTAATTATGCTTTTGTTGAATATGAAAATAATCAAGCTGCAGATATGGCTTTAAATACTCTTAATGGAAGATCAATCAATAATTCTGAAATTAAAATCAATTGGGCTTTCCAATCTGCTACTATTACTACTAATAATAATAATGAAAATGATCCTACTTTCAATATCTTTGTTGGTGATTTAAGTCCAGATATTGATGATGAAGGTTTAAAACAAGCTTTTGGTAAATTTGAATCTTTAAAACAAGCTCATGTTATGTGGGATATGCAAACTTCAAGATCTAGAGGATATGGATTTGTTACTTTTGGTGTCCATTCAGATGCTGAACTGGCTTTACAAACCATGAATGGTGAATGGCTTAATGGTAGAGCTATTAGATGTAATTGGGCTTCTCATAAACAAGCTAATAACAATAATCAAATGAATCAACATAATCATAATAATAATAATCATCATCAAAATAATAATGGATATAGAAATAATAATGGTCGTCATAATAATCCAAATAACAATCGTCAATTTAGACAATTCCATAATGGTAACAATAACAACCTTAATAATAATAATTCTAATAATTTGTATTCTCAACAATTAATTAATCCAGGATTAGGTGGTGGTAATAACAATAATCAATTCCAACCACCTCCACCTTTACCACAACAACCAGGATCTTTACCTCAAATGTTACCTATGAATGGCAACAACAACAACAATAGCAGAGACAGCAACAACAATTCCATGAATGGTAATAACAATAACAACAACAACAGCAATAACAGCAGTGCCAATGGTAACAATACTAATAACAATCATCCACAAGGTAATATCCCAGTCATGTCACCTCAAACCTATGATATTGTATTAAGACAAACCCCATCCTGGCAAACTACAGTTTATTTAGGTAATATTGCCCATTTCACCCAACAAGGAGATTTAATCCCCTTATTACAGAATTTCGGATTTATTATTGATTTCAAATTCCATCCAGAAAGAGGATGTGCATTTGTCAAATATGATAGTCATGAAAGGGCTGCAATGGCGATTGTCCAATTAGCTGGTTTTAATGTGAATGGAAGACCTTTGAAATGTGGTTGGGGAAAGGATAGACCACCTCCTCAAATGGGACATCAATTTGGGAATTTTTCAAGAGGTGGTGGTGGTGGTAATGGAGGGATGAATATGAATATGAATATGAATATTCATGCGCCTCCTCCTCCACCTCCTCCACAGATGTATAATCAAGGTAGACCTTAGATAAAGTTGGTTTCGTAACATTTTGATAGACATAGAGAAAGTTTTTTAAAAGAAAAAGTTTATTGTTAGTATTGTTTGAAGAATTACTGGCCCCTTTTTGTTTATTAGATTAGAAGAATTGTGTTTTTGAAATGTGCCTTGTTGATTGTGTGATGTTGGCTTGTGGTTGTTGCTATTAGAAAAGAAGACCTTTATGGGATGGATGAAGTTGTTGTTCCATGAAATGAACCTTTTATATGCTTGTCTTTTATTATTTTATTTTATTAGTTGTTTTTTTATCTCTTTATATATCTCTCTCTTTTATTTATATATATACTGCTCTTTGTCTTTTTGTTTATCACGTATATATATTACATATATATCTAACTATATATCTACTTATTGTTTGTTTGATTTAATTGAAAATTTTAAATATAAATTTATTGAGTTTCGTTGATTGTATGTAAATATGTAAATTGTTGAAAGCAAAGTAGAAAAATTGGTTGCTAAAACTTACTTCCTCAAGAATGTGAGACAGCCAAACAAAATGATTATTCCCAAAGATCTAGGTAGCTATTGTATTGTACAACTTAAATAAGTCATCAATGCCCAAAAGCTTTGTGTTGCAAAAATTGTCATATTATATACGATCAACCTTAATGACTTCAACAGTCTAAGGAGAGAAATTTTATTGGAAGAATAAAGATAGACATGGATTACGAATAGATAGAACGATACAGCCTCTAACCCTTGTCCTACCAATAATAGAACTGGTGGTAGTAGTAGAGGGCCCGAAAGTTATACCTCCAAGAGTTACATAAGAAGTCAAATAAAATTTTGATTACATAATCATGACAATTGGTAGCATTCTAATTGATTGAAAAGTTTTTTTTTTTTGGGTTCTTTCTTTAGAATGTTCCATGGGAATGACGGAGGAAATCATATTACTAAAAGACAACTATTGAACTACTGGTTTAAGAATACTTCTTAATTACTAAGGAAAAGAGTATCATTATACTTCAACATCACATTGAAATTTTCCAAGAAATAGAAGAAGGAAATAGAAAGTGAAGAAAACATTCTTCCAATCAGTCTCAATAAAAACATCAACTTATGTTTCTTTCCAGAAGATTCATAATTGTAATTATCATTTTTATATTCTGCTTTATTATAAGTAACATACTTATTATATTATCATTAGACAATAGTAACACATTGACTTTATTCAACTATCAACTATCAAGCTTCCTTCTCCTGACCAAATCATCCATCACCAGTAAGCCTATACAAAAGCTATTATCAACAACAACAACCACATTATTGTTAATAGTCTCCTTATATTACATATCAAAACATTCTCCATACAACTTACCTCAATTAGTAAACAAATTATTTAGTTTCATGAATTCAAATTATAGATTTGGTCATCGTACTGGACGTTTCTCCAATAAAAAATCAAAACATTATAAATTTGCCCTTCGTAATGGAGGAGCAATTGGAGGAATTAGTAATGAAGGTAATACATGTTTCATGAACTCGGTTATCCAATCATTAGCTTCTTCACGAGAATTGGTCAAATTTATAGATTCTTATCTTTATACTGAAACGGAAATTGTACAACCAACTACAGGTAAATCAATCAGATTAAAATCAGATCAACCAAAACCTCAATTAGTTTTCACTAATGCTTTGAAAACTATTTTGAATAATGTGAATGGGAAATATGGAAGTATAGGTAAAGAATTCAGTTCAAAACAACTTTTAAACAAAATGCCAAATGGTCCTAAACAGAATTTCTTCTCTGGATATAATCAAGAAGATGCTCAAGAATTTTATCAATTGGTGATGGATCTTTTAGAAAAAGAATACAAAAGAGTAAGTATTTCTCGTCCAGCTACTCCCGAGCCTGAAATCCCGGGTGAGAAACCTAAAGAATCAACCAAATTTATTGATGTTTCATATATTTCTAATTTGATTTCTGGTTGTGATCAATTGGGTAAATTGGGATATGTTTATGTTCCCGCATCCCAAGTTGATCCTAATTTAACTGGAGTGGATCATAAAGTAATGTCATTGGAATTGATCACACCAGTAGATGGGATGTCTGCAGAAAGAATTGGTTGTTTGACTTGTGGTGAAGTCGGTGGAATTAGATATTCGGTGAATAGTGGATTGAGTTTAAATTTACCACAAAATTCAAGTTATTATTCTAGCTTTACTTTGAATCAATTATTAAATGAATGGAACAATCCGGAAATTATTGAAGATGTTAATTGTAATAGGTGTGGTTTACTTCAAACTAAAGAATTCTTAATGGATACGATTTCTCAATCAAAACAGAATTCAGTACCAGAAAAATTAATTGAACAATTCCAAACTAGACTAGATTTAATTGAACAAGAATTACTTAAACCTCATATTGAAGATGAAATATTTGAAAAATTAACAATTAAGAAACATATCAAGAAATCAAAAAAATCAAAACAAATCTTCTTAGGAAGACCTTCTCCATTATTATGCATCCATATAAATAGATCCGTCTTTGATCCACGAACATACATGGTGATGAAAAATACCAGTAATGTAACTTATCCCGCAACACTCGATCTTGGTCCATACGTAGCCGAACCAGGTGATATCAACATGGACGCCAGATTACCATTCCGCAAACAAGATGAACGTTTCCACCACCACCACCACCACCACCAACAACAACAACCCGACACCGCCGACGGAGCATCATCACCTCAGTCACAAACAGGACTTTCAGCCAGTCCATCAGATTCATCCCTCTCCTCCCTCGAAACCAATCCAAAATCAAACTCCACCACAATGACAGTGCCGGACTCCCACTCCGCACCACCAGCCGCGGAACAGCTGCTCGACCCAAGATTACAATATAATCTAAAAGCCGTCATCTCCCACTATGGAACCCACAATTATGGTCATTATATATGTTATAGAAAACTCCGAGGATCATGGTGGAGAATCAGTGATGAATCGGTATATGTCGTGACTGAGGAGGAGGCTTTGAATGGACAAGGGACATTTATGTTGTTTTATGAGTATGATGATGGATATGTTGATCCTTCACTTGTTGATGTGTCAGATAGTGATGAGGAAGATGTAGATGTTGAACTGGAGAAGGGAATTAAGTTGAGAGAAAAAGCTAGTAGTGGAAGTAGTATGAATGTGGATGATGAAGAAAATGAGGGTGAGGAAGAGGCTGAGGAAGAGGAAGAGGAGGATGATGCGGATTATGAAGGTGAGAGCAGCGGATTGGAGAGTTCGGAGCTGGAGAATTCGTCGATGATTGCTCAGCTGGATAGAATACCTATTGGTGATAATGAGAATGATGACGACGAGCAGGAAGATGATACTTCGATGAATAGTACTCATATTGATTTGGCGGCTGCTGAAGCACAGGTTCATTTGTAACATTTTTTTAAATAGGTTTATGTTTAGTTTATTCCTCGATGTATAGAAATAGATTTTTATTTTGGTTTTTATTATCGGCCCTTTCTATTATAAGCCAATAATTCGACTCCCGACATCAAGGGAAATTCGTTCCTACAAATGACATAATGTACATATGTGTTGCCTTCGAAATCCAAACCATTTGTGTTATCTTGTGTTTTTTGGCATTCTACCCTTTTTCTCCTTTGTAGACTTATTTGGTTTCAACCATTAACTGCACTCAAATTCAAAGTAGACCCATTCGTGTCAATTATAAATATAAATCAAGCGTCAATAAGATATCCTAGTAAATAGTTCTTCAAACCTGTAACTCAATTATTTGTTTGCAGTAATTTCTCGAACTTTATTTTTTCGTACTAGATCTTGATGATCATCGCGAAATTCTTTAACTTAATCAACATTACCCTTCTTGAATCCATCATACATCATGGCCAGAAAACTCAAAGGAAAGACCCTCTCAACCAAGGGGCTCAAAGGTGCATTAGTCCGTCATTTCCATAAAGAGCAACATCACCAAAAACTAACAAAAAATGCCGAAATCCAATCCCAAAACGAAATCAATAAACAAAAATCCATAAAATCAACCAAGAAACAAAAACAAAACACCCTAAAACAAACAGCCCAACAAAAAGGTCTTATACCATTTTCTCAAGATGATAGGGTGTTACTTATCGGAGAAGGGGATTTCTCATTCGCAAAATGCTTAATCTCCCAAGGATTCTTATTACCCCAAAACCTAATTGCGACCAGCTATGACTCCCTCGAGGTCCTCGAAGCGAAATATCCAACTATCCAAACCAATCTCACTGAGCTCGCTGAAGAAGGAGTCAAAATCATTCATGAAGTCGATGCCACAAACCTAATCACCAGTTTAAAACTTCCTTCCAAACAGCGTAAGAAGTCTAAGAATTTGGTTGAATTATTCCCAGGGGGACACAAATTGAATTATGTGATGTTTAATTTCCCTCATACCGGAAGGGGGATAAAGGATATGGATCGAAATATCCAGGATCAACAGAAATTAATCTTACTGTTTTTCCAAAATGTGAAAGAATTGTTTGAGGTTGTGAATTCGGATTTAAAGAATGATTTCGCGGGATATTTGGGAAGTACTGGGGAAAGCAAGAGTGGTGATGGAAAGATTATCTTATCGTTATTTGAAGGGGAGCCGTATAATTCCTGGGGGGTGAAGATTCTTGGCAGGAGTGAGGGATATAAAGTAGAGAAATCGGGGAGGTTTGATTGGAAGATGTTTCCTGAATATCATCATCGAAGGACTAATAGTATGCAAGATACATCCAAACCCGCGGCAGAAAGAGATGCTAGAATGTATGTTTTTGAGAAGTTTGAGAAGGTAGAGAATAAGAAACAGAAGGAAGATGATTCAGATTCTGATTAGACTACTATGTATTATTATTATTATTAGTTATAGAAAATCTAAAGGATAGCAAACTTATGCTGGGAATACACGTACACAATGATCTATAAAGAATATTTCTTTGGTTAATGGGTCTTTCACTTTTCCCATTCGTAATAATGTATTCTTCTCACTAAGATGTTTTTCAGAAGGATTAAGTAACTTATCAAATGGATAGATATTCCCATTGGGTAATTTGAATGGATTATTAAAAATACTGGTGATTAATTGAGCATATGGTAAGTTCTTACTTAATTCATATAATTCAGGTGAACAAACTGGACAATTATTGATTTTGTTTAGAACCTTATAATATTTATTCGGACCTCTATATTTCTTACTAGTCAAGACAGAGGAACTCGGAGTTTCAGGTGAATCGGGTTTCGTAGAATCAATTGGTATCTCTTCATTTATATCTCTAAATATTGTATTCTCGGTATTATAATAACATGATTTAGTTTTCAAACTTGATAATCCAGCAGAAAGATATATGAAAATTGGATAATTTTTCGATATTCCATATAATTTAGTAAAATTCTCAATAAAACATTGTGATAAACCTTCCCATCTTTCTTCTGATAATAATTTTTGATATTCATGATATTGCGGGGAATTTACCATTAGATTACTAGAGAAAGTATTCCCATTGTGAGTACGATCTATCAAAGATCTAAACATTAGTAATCCTCCCATTCCTAATAATCTTGTCTTATTGGCTAAATGATTAAATTTATCAGTTTGTTGATAATTTTCTCTATTTCCATACGGAGATAAAGTAGTTCTTGAATATCTTGTAGCTTCATTTATATCACCTTTTTCAATCAATGATAAGAATTTACAATAATTGATTTCAAATTCTAAATTTGAATTTACTTTCTTAAGGAAATTTCTATTTTCATTAAACCAAGCTATAACCAAAGATAAATCATGATCTTGGACAATTGATACAAATACTTTATTAAAATTGTGGAATAAATCATAATCAATTAATTTCATAAAATTAGGATTCTTTTCAGCTAAACTCTTTAATAACAATATACCAGCATTTTCATCTGATCTAATATTTGATTTTATTAAATAATCCACAATTAATAAATTTGTTTGATCCCTATACCAATTTAATAAATTAGGATTATGTAGATCTAATAATTTATCATCCTCATATTTCGTAGAAGGGTCATTACCCTCGGTATTATTATTAGTGTCATCACCAGTCTTTCCTTTATTACTTGTACTACCACCACCACCAGTAGAACCTGTCCCACTTGAAGGTGTAGTGATACAATATTTATCTAATTCATTCAAATGCTCCAATCTAGCAACCAATCTCAGTCGATATTCTTCATCTTTAGAAACAGCCGTTTTTAATTTCTTTTGAAAACTTTCAAACCCTTTAATCAACTTCTTTATTAATTCTAATTTCATTGATTTCGGGATATTTGGATTCTTTTTAATTATTGAGATCTCATCCATTAATTGCTTCTTTTCCTTTTCAATTAATTTTTGAATATTTTTGAAATTCTTCTTAATCAATTCAATGGGAATCCTGAATTGGGTTTGTGATGTCTGGATCTGGAAGTTTAGTGTTGGTTCCGTCATGTTGTGTTACCTTGGGGGCTGTCTTATATATATACAAATTAGACGTGTAATAGCAATAAATAAATTGTGGTTGTAAATTAAAGATTCCCCCTTTTAGCCTTTTTTTTTTGGCTGTTGAATGGGTGAAATTGAAAATCTGGGGCAAAGGCTGAGCTACCAAATGTGATTGTTGCATGTACCCTATAAGTTATGTAAAAGCTGTTGATATTACCTCTTACGTATTCCGATAAGGTTCTTTTGCTAACTGTAGTTTTGATGAGATGTAAAAGTCTTTATAAGAGTTTATGAAAAGTCTTAGCCATGTTTATAAGATGATCGACAACTCCATAATCATCGTCAAGAAAGATGGTATGACGAATCATGGTCAATTATAGTTACTCAGTAGCGCCACCTAATAACTCTAACGACTATAAGAATTCGAATCAGTTATGGCCAATAGAGAATCCATAAGTAGATTGTGGTTTTTATTATTTTCAATCTCTTGTATAAAATTGGTAACTATATATAAACTATGAACAAAGCTTCATTCATCTCTTGAATCTATAAGCAATTTCTTCAATCTTAATTTAATCACCAAGATATCAACATACATTTTATATTCTGCAATCAAAGTCTTCCGCATTAGATATAACTGTTCAGTAAAACAAAGATCGAATAGAACTAACGGAACACCAACCTTGTTAGATTTATTATATGCCTTCATTAATATCATTTGATCATTTAAACTTGAATATATTGTTTCTTCAAATTGTTTCAATTGATAATAATAATAAGTTTGACAACCGCCTGGTTGTTTGTTGGTATAATTAAATATATTATTCCAAAGGGTGAATGAAGCTTTTCTGGTTACTTCATGAATTTCATCAAATGTTTCTTCCATTAATGAATCGAATTCAGCAATAATTGATTCGACTCCATCATTAAGTTTTACAAGTTGTTTAGACATTTTCTACTTTGATTGATCGATTTGATAACTGATTGACCCTTTTTACTCAATCCTGAAGGTTGTTCTAAATTTTTTGCAGCATTTTTTTGGTGCCTAGAAATTATTTGGTTGATCCTTTAACAAACGAACTCCTTATAGACAAGATGTAGCTTACATAGAATAGACCGGTGATCTTAGTGATGAGCTAATCAGACTTTTATGAGACTTAGATATTCGACACTCTGATGTCTTTAATAGAATAGTGGTGATAAAAGCAAGCAGCAGTCACTTTGAAACCTTTATTGGTTCAACTCTTTTATTAAACGCTACTCTGACAAATAGTAATAGGAAACGCTAGACCCTTCTGGTTTCTAGTAGTAGTCTGTCCAATTGTTACTTTTGGGAAAGAAAGATCAATTCAAACTCAATTGGATAAGTCGCCGTTTAGAACAATAATGCCATTTTGTGTGACTGACTAATTGGGCCAAATTGTAAACATGCGTAATGACTAATTTGAAGTTGACTGAGTATAAAAACACATGAATTTTCCCTTGAATTAAAAGTCTATTTTCCTTTCTTTCTTTCTTCTTTAGCACTTGCTAACTAATCAAATAGTTTACAATCCATTCAATTCAATACTCATGTTGATTTATTAAATTAAATTGGCTGGTAAGAGTGGCGACTATCGAGTAGATCGCACTGAGGTGGTTCATATGATTAATTTATATTATATCCAATATGGTTAGGTTGACGCTACTTGCTGCTTGACGATTGGTCTTCGGGGGCTCCGTAATTAGATACTTCTATATATAACTTTGGCTGTTCCCCCTCTAATTATAATTTCTCCCGTTTTAATATACAATTAATTAAAAACCTTGTTCAACAATGTAGACTGTATTTACGTAAATTATAAGATTAACAATATATACAAACAAGAAATAACTCTATAAACTATCCATTGGCAAAACAGTATCAGAAATAGGTATCTTCTTATCCTTTAACCCGTAGAATAAATCTCTTAAACGATCCTTCCCCATATCAACCTCGCCTACAAATTCGCCATCTATTTGCAAAGGATTAAACCTTCCCTCGGGGAAATATGGCTCCAAAGTATCAATAAACCCATTCCCAGCATCAAAATGATTGAAATAATGAAACCCAATCGAATCTCCCTTCTTCTCCACCTCTTGTCTCTCCCATTCCTTTTGTTCTTGTACAGTGGGCAAGGTCCTCAAACCTGACCATACACCAGCTATAGCAGCAGCACTGGCTTCCATAGTATGGAAATTTAATTGCGAAACAGCTACTCCAATAGTTGCTAATGTTGGATCCTGTTGGTTGAAAGTATGAAGATATAACCCTTGGACACGCGATGCATTACCTGGGTTAATAATCTTCAAATTCTGTTGTTGTTGTAAGAACGGGAAATGGAAATGATAACCGGTTGACAATAAGATCTTATCGAATCTTCCTGTTGATCCATCATCGAAATGAACCAATCCTGTCTCGGGGTCGATTTTGGAGATAGTTGTTTGGGGGATAATACCATCGGAGACTAATGCATCGTTTATGAATGGAAATACCGCATTTTTGCCTCGTTTGGAATTAGTGGTTGATTTAGCTATGGGTACGATATATTGCAACAAATTAATTGTGGAAATCCCTCCACCGATAACCAATACATCCAAATCTTTGAATTCTTCGGGATCTCTGAATGATTTGGCATGCATAAGAACACCGGGGAATTTCGCATTAAACCCTGCCATTCCCGGGATGTTTGGAATAAATGGAACTGTGTAATGACCATTTGCAATCACCACAGCATCAAATGATTCTAAATACCATTCAGACTCATCTCTGTTTTCATTCTTCTTACGAATACTAATATCCCATTTCCCGGTATCTTGATTCTTAATCAAATTCTCAACAGTACTATTCACTCTAACATATTCATCCAACTTTTCGGCCTTAATAAAATCACTAAATCTACCGGATAATTCTTGATGATACATAAAGGGATAAATCTTTCTCTCAGTCGTATCATAATATTTCTCTTCATTTTCCATGAATGAAAACCTCGTGAATCTAGCGGGAATATTAGTGAATAAATTAGGATATATCCCACTCCTGCTCCATTCTAATTCATTATCCAACCAAACCTCCTTCACGCCCCTGTTCTCATTCCGTTTCGGATTCGTAATATCACTATCTTCAATCCCTTGTGGAGGAATATTCCTAGGCCTGATGATTTCAGGAAGGTGATAAGACTCAGTATCCAAAATCTGCTGCGGTGGGACCGGTAAATCAGCCTCTTGAGTCACAGGGGTCCAAATACCACCAGCGGCGGATTTTTGTTCAAATACGACGATTTTGGAAAATAGAGGGTTGGTGGGTCTGGTGGTGGTTCCAACGGTTGACTTTCCTTCTTTGGAAGTATGGAGAAATTCATAAAGGGCTGCAAGACCAGCAGGACCGGCGCCGATGATTGCAACGGAGTTTATATCGAATTTAACCATGGTTGTAAGGAGTGGATCTATGTGTGATTATGCGGGTAGAAGTAAAATGAATGGATCGGTTGCCTATTTTATAGATTTCGGTTTCTGAAAAAAGAAAGTTTGGAGATGGAATGGATAAGTAGTCTGTAGATTCGTGATATTACGCAATATATAGGTTAGTATCTAGCAATAGCGTATGAAAAGAAACCTGTTTGTATGAAGATTTGCAACTGTGGCATAAAGGCTAAACCAATTGTGCAATTGCATCGCATCATCTCAACATCTGGATCAATTCATTTTTCCGCTGTGGCTAAACCTAATTTTTTACGTCAAAAAAAGAAAGAAAAGTGCTAAAAAATAAATCCGTCGTCTAAATTGGTTGCAGAAAACGATTCTCCGAGGAATGGTAGCGTTACATCCAACTCTCTTGCAACAATTTCAATTCTTTAAGGCAATGCCATGTATTCAAAAAAATCTCTATAATGCATTTATAAACGAACTCAAACTAAAACTACTTAAATAAAATAAAAATGAAAAAGTCATTGATCAATCTATATATAATATAACCCATAGTATTCTTACTTACACCCAGTCAACTTATTCTTGGGGAATTTATATCCTGCATCTTCAAACAACGTCAAATTCACATTTTCATAAACATTCAAATGCAGCTGAATATAATTATAAGTAGGAAAGCCACTTGGATCACATCCAATATTGATCTGATCTGCTGGTTGATATACCCTCACGTAATCAATACTCATCGTCACGGGGAACACCAAAGAATTCCAATCGATATATGCCCAATTATTAGAAATACCAAGATTCATAATCAAAGACATCGGTTCTTTTGAAAGAGGTCTCCAACCAATATTCCCATTTGGATGAAGTGCTTGAGAATAAACAGTTAATGTTGGGTTTTCTCCAACAAACCAGGTGAGATATCCCTTATTTGGATCATTCAAATATTCAAATCCATATCGTTGGAAATTATGTGGCATATCTTCTCCAAATTCATACCAAGTATGATTCAAAGTAGTAGTACCAGAAAGTGCTTGTTGAAAAGGTCCTCCAGCATAAGTATTCATAGTTGTGACTGAGTCATTATGAATTGCAACAAAATCGTAATCAGGAATGTACCAAATATCAAATGGAGCCAATTGTAAAGATTGAGAAGCAACCCCCAAATTTGGTTTTTTGCCTGTAGGATCACTTGACATTTCCGCCTCTAAAACATCGATTTCGGGTGCACCTCTACCCACACCTGGATTTGGATGATCTTCTCCAGGACAAGTACATGAATTCAATCTCTGTCCTGGTAAATAACTTATCCCATCAGGAGAGGATTGATTAGGAGTAATACCGGCATCACAGGATTCATAAGAATATGGCCAGACTCCTTCTGTCAGGGCTAAATACCCTGGACGACCTAAGTTCCCCATGGTCCATAAACCGGGCCACAATCCACTTACATTACCATAATTGGGTAATCTGGCGGAGAATTCGATTTTTCCTTGGGTGAAACAGAATTTATTCCAACTTTGGACCATACCACTTCTATAAAACAAATTATGATTCTTGAATGCATCCATACGTAAATTCAACGTTCCATTGGCGGTGGTGACTGCATCAGGATCATACCATTCCAAATCCTTGGTTGCATCATAATGTAAATCTGGCGCGGTGAAAAATTGATCATCACCTTCATAGAATGTTCTTCCTACAGCATTGAATTCATCACTGAATACCAAAGGCCATTCATCTCCATTTTGACTCTTCCATGTCATTGCTTCTTGTGGTGTGTCCGGATCAACAAGTTCTTGTCTGATGGCGGATAACATCGGATATTCATATCTGGTTAAAACTTCATATACTTGAACACCATGATAATGATTAGTGACTCCACTATATGTAAGTGCCGGAACTAAAATAAAGACCATTAATCCAGCAAGGAATAATATTATCAATGCAAGCATCCCGGTGAAGGATCTTCTATCCATATTTTTCAAATCATGCATAAATCTATTCTTATCATATTCCGCATCTTCAATTGGATCAGGATTGTGTAAATAATCATCTGGTTCTTTTTCGTCGATATGCAATGGGAATGACAGGGCAGGATATCCTCCGAATGGCGAAAGGTCGGCAATTGGAGGCGGTGGGGTAGAGCTACTAGAACTGTTCACTGATGAAGCACCCGTACTTTCTTGTGACACAGATATTGGTATATTGTTCCCATTGTTGTTGAATGGGAAGCGTAATTGTGATGCTAACGAAAGAGAGCTTTGTACTCTTGATCCCGCTAAGCTTGGATATCTGTCATATTCTGCCGGTGAAGCACTCATTAATCTTGTATGATCATCAGGGGTTTCGAGTAACATATTTGAACTTCCTCCATTGGAATAATATCCTGTTCCCTCTGTGAATCTATGTGCTTGGGGATTGTGAAGATGGGGTATAGATGATTCTGATGAGGATGCCGACGAGGATGATGATGAGTATACGAAGGTGGGTGGTTGTCTTGGTGGTGGTTGTATTTGGTCAGCAAATGGATTTTGATGATTTAAAGTATGTGAATCTTGGGAATTTGCGTCCAGTGCAATATCATCACTTTTGCTTCCATTGTGGCCATTCCTGTTTGCGGAAATGTTAAACTGAGGAGTATTGGATGTTAAATCTCGCGTGGACATTGGTACTTGTGTTTATGTATAATATGAATAGTTGTGGATGGATAAATGTTAGGACCCTGAAACGAAAAGAAATTTGGTGGTGGTGGCTTTCTTGGATCAAATCTAGATTCTTAATCTTTCTCTAGAAGTAAATAACGAATGACTTAAAAGGAATAAAATGAATGTGGAAGAAGAAGAAGAAGAAGAAGAGAATAATGGGTAAAGATCTTCGGAAGAATAAGGAATTAAGTTTTTCCTGTTCAGATTTTCACCTGTGGAATTGAAACAAGTTTATGCGATCTGCGACTGCGATCTGCAATGTAGTGTGTGGTGAAAAAAAAAATAAAAAATTTTTATTGCTAAGAAAAGTTAAAAAATTTCTTTTGAATATTTTTTTGCGTTTTTCGGTTCTCGAATCTGTTTCTTTGTTTCGATTTTTTTTTTTATTTTCTTGTTTTGTTTTATTTTTTTTTTGACAGATCAAGTTTTAACCTAATTTGTATGTTGCTTCTATGCAGGATATTAATATATTAAGAGAAAAAACGTTTTGCTCAAATGATGATGCTTTTGTTGTTTCATCTTTCTCTGTTTGTACACATTCTCTGTTTCGTCTAATTCAATAGAGTTTAGATGAATTAAGTTTGTATATAATTGCTATAGTGCAATTAACAAGTATGAGATCTATTGTTGTCATCTGAGGAGTAACGTGTTTCGTTTGAGAGGTTTTGAAACCTGAAATTTGTAAAGATCTTTGAAAGGAGAGAGAAAAGGAAACAATTAACGAGAATAGCATTTGATTTTGTATCGCGTTTATTTTATTGTATTTTGAAGTTTTAGTATTTTTTTAGCTTTAATCAGAAAGTCAATGAGTGGAAGCTAGATTCACACACACACACACTATGTAAGAAACAACAGCAAATATAAAATATATTATTTATGAAACCTTACTCAAAGCATGTATGTATATATATATTAGCTCATCGGCATTGATATGAAACTTTAAATGCATTATGACATGACCATTCTGTGTTGTTTAATGTGCGATGATGAAACTTATTTCGAGGCAGTGTTACAAACACATTTGACACAAAACACTCATACTGTCACGTGACTAGTTTTGTTTCTAAATTTAGAATCATTTGACAGCTAAGCAGCATCACTTTTATTTATCTTGCATATTACACTGATAACATTTATAGAAGATTGTATCCATTGAGCCTTGGATTGTTTACTTGAACTGACTGTTAATATGCCTTTTTAAAAGATTCAGCATTGATCCCTTTTCTTCAGACAAATAGGAATCGATGTTATTGACTGGGGATAATCCCATATCTTTCAATATATACTAGTCAATTCTATCTCTGAACCTCAAACAACATTCCTAGAACTCGTACACTATGGTCTCTAGAAGTTTTGGTATTGGTTCGTTTATTTAACTTAAGAATATATTGTAGGGTGCTGATCTTTTTAAAAATAGAAATTCAGTTTATATTTCGTAAAATTAATTGCGAAAAACTCCATTCCACAACACATACATACATTGCCTCGTTAATGAGACAAAGCGGTTATATAACGAGCTTTATTTGAGGCTTTGAAGTCTCTCCAAGCATTATCGCACTATCTGGTAATCTGATATTGTTTAATCGTAGTTTCGATGTTTGAAAAGAAGAGTCGCTTATATCACATTAGTCACCTTAAAGGTTCCTCTCTCTCTCAATTTTCTTTAATTTTATTTTTAATTATAATTTATTTTTTTGCAGCTAAATTTAAATTTATGATCATTCATCATTAGCAATTACGATGGCACTGATAATCACTTATTATATATTATATATATATTATTTGCAAAAGTAAATAATCATTTAATGAGTTCAGATTTTTCATTCTCTTTATGTTTCCTTAGTTTCCTCAATTAATAATTTGTCTTATATTTATAGATAGACTCTTCCTCCGCCAATGTCACGAGACTTAACTTATAATACTCCACAATTCAGTGTAACCAATGCTGATGGAGAACAAGAATTTCAATTCCATAGCCATAACCACTCATATACAAGTATACAAGATGCCATAGATGAAACACCTCCAGAATCATTCAATTCAAACCCTTCAAATGAATCATTGCCAGGATTCACTCCCATAGATACTTCTGAATACCATCCATCTCATTATGAGCGATTAGATGATGGTTCATTATACACTACTAACTCGACTGCATATTCGAACACATCTACTTATTCCAAAGATGGCGCATCGTCTTCCATATATGAGATGCAGTCGTATGAAACAACCGCCAATAATGATGATGCCTCTCCTTTTGGAGGATACTCGCCAAATGCTTTTTTCTTATATTGGGAGGAAAAAGAACCCGATGATTATTTACATAATCCTGATCCAATTGAAGATGCGAAATATGAAAGTAATCGATTTTGGTATGATTTGAAAAGTATGGACCGGAGATCATTTTTTGGATTGTTAACATTTATATTCATGTTCTTCGCCGCTCTTGGTATTTTCATCTTATTACCAATATTGTCATATGGTGCAAAATTTACCCCATCTGTCACCACAGGAATCAAACTTACGGATTATGTGTATCCCATGATCTCTTCCATCCGAACCAACCTAGTAGACCCCGACACACCAAAAGAAGCACTCACATGGACCAACCCCTTAACAAACGAGACATGGCCTCTCGTATTCTCCGACGAATTCAACACGGAAGGAAGAACATTCTACGACGGGGATGATCAATTCTTCACGGCGATGGATTTCCATTATGCTGCCACCAATGATTTGGAATGGTATGACCCTGACGCGGTAACTACCGCTAACGGAACCTTAAACCTCCGCTTGGATGCATTTAAGAATCATGATTTGCTTTATAGATCAGGTATGGTCCAAAGCTGGAATAAATTCTGTTTCACCCAAGGAAAAATCGAATTCTCAGCCCGGTTACCTGGTTACGGGAACATATCGGGTTTATGGCCCGGTTTATGGACGATGGGAAATCTTGGACGTCCAGGGTATTTAGCCACCACGGATGGAGTATGGCCATATACGTATAGTACTTGTGATGCCGGTATAACCCCCAATCAATCCTCTCTGGACGGGATCAGTTATTTGCCAGGTCAACGACTCAATTCGTGTACTTGTCCAGGCGAAGACCATCCAAATCCAGGTACCGGAAGAGGTGCTCCTGAGATTGATGTTGTCGAAGCCCAGATTTCAGGGATTGGACAAGTTTCACAATCGTTACAAGTCGCGCCTTATGATATTTGGTACATGCCCGACTATTCATTTTTAGAAATCTACAATGCTTCAATCACACATATGAATACATATGCTGGTGGTCCGTTCCAACAGGCCGTATCCGGATTGACGATGTTGAATACCTCATGGTATGAATACGGGGACACTGCACATAATTTCCAAAAATACGGGTTTGAGTATTTGAACGACGATACTACCGGATATGTGACCTGGTTTGTCGGAGATGCACCGGCTTGGACAGTGAAGGCATTTGCATTACATCCGAATGGGAATGTTGGCTGGAGACAGATCCCGAAGGAGCCATTGGCGTTGATTATGAATTTGGGGTTATCGAATAATTGGGCATATATTGATTGGCTTAGTTTGGTATTTCCATCGACAATGAGTGTTGATTATGTAAGATTATATCAGCCAGAAGGACAGGTGAACTTGGGTTGTGATCCGGAAGGATATCCTACCCAAGAGTATATTCAGAAACATTTGAACATTTATGAAAATGTGAATTTCACGCTGTATGAGGATGCTGGGTATACGATGCCTAAGAATAAATTAACCGGATGTTAGAATAGTGTTTGATATCAATTTAATGTTTTGGATAGTTTTATTAGACGATATTCTTACGAGTAATTATACTTATCTCTTAACGATCTAATCATCCTATTTGTTTCCTCAATTAAGCTCCAAATCTATTCTATATACATACAATCCCATGATTTGCACCAGGATAAATGTCATCCAATTCTTTCACATTCTTACCCAATGCAAAATTCCCCTGTGACAAATTAACAAAATTAATAATCCCATGATTTACAATCGCAAACACTGTAGTCAGATTTCCAGCTTTCAACTTCTCATCACGTAATTTAAGATATTTATTCCGAAGTTGAATATTTTGTGATAATTTAGAATGACGTTCTGCTTGTCTTGCTTGTCGTATTTCCTTTTTTGATAATGGCATTGTGTTTTTCTTCTTTTTGGACGCAGCGGTAGTTGGTCCTGAGCCAGGCGATTTAATCTTCGGCACTACTTGATTCTGTAAAGTGTGAATTTTCGAAAGTGATGGGAAAGAGCTGGATTTGGATGTATCCATTACAAATAATTGGAAATCTGGTGGAGGAGGCGATTTTTTGGAAAATGAATTGGTAGGCTTCCAAACATTAAACGTTATCTGAACATCATTACCCTTCTTGCAAGTAATTGTCTCATTTGCTAACGATAATGATTTGTATATATCTCTATAATTGAAGTAGTGTTTGGTTTTGAAATGTAAACTATGTCCAATCGGATATGACATCAATCCCCATTCTCTTGCGATTGATTTAAGATATCTAAATCTTTCTTGTGTGGCATCATCGACTTCTTTCACACCTTCCTGGGGATTAATTCGCTCTGGATCGAAATTATATTCCTGAATCATATACCCCAACCTTTTCAAATATGAATAAATCTGATACTTTGCGACATCCAACCCCGCCAAACAATACAAATATTCCAAATCAATAGCCATCAATCTCCCTTCAACATCGAACTTCACACCCTCATTGTCGACACCGCTTTCCAAATACGTTTCATACTCTTCATCAGCAAGATATACAACCATACTCCCCCTTTCGACCAAATATACACACTCATAACAATTCAACGCTTGACCTCCTTTAATCTTTCCAAAATTCTCTGGTCGTCCAACATCCCGAAAATAATTCCCCTTCGGATGGGCAATAAAACAATTATTCACCTTTGGTCTCCAAACACCAATCAATGATTGCTTGATATGATGACCGCGGACACTTGAGAGAGCATCATACATTGCCCGACGCGATTCTTGGAGAGCGGTTGATTGGATGATGGTTCCATCGGGTTCAAATTCTTTTTCACCTCGTTTTGGGATGGCAGTGGTGGCAGCCGAGGAGCCCGATTTGGAGAGGAGTTTCCAGTCTTGGATTTCATCTTCTATATCGTGGGTTGTGGCTTCAGACTTGGGGATTGTGGCTTCATCGTCGTCTTCGGACATGTCGAGATAAATGGGAGGTTAGGTGATTGATCGGTGGGAAAGAGGTTAGGTTGGAAAAATATTTGGGGCGAGATGTGATGATTTGTGTGGCTCACAGAGGCAGATGTAGAACAAAAAAATCAAATTTTGATACGAGTCTTCTTCACCAATACTTCCACTTCCTTATCAAGTATACCCGATAAATGGTGTCTGAGACTACGACCACTGGATTTTGTGGCTATGCTGTCGAAATTCCCAGAGATGCTTTTTATCTTACTACCGATATTATGAGTGATGTTTGTATGCACCTGGATTTACTTCATGACTACAAACCTTTGAACAGTCCACAAACATTTACGCATTCCAGTGGCAAGCAGGGAATTATTAAAGGACGAGGAACCTTGAAGTTATCCGTAACAAAAGATCAAGTCATTAAGGTTCTAAATGTCGCCTACGTTCCGGAATGGGAACGGAATGTGCTCAATCCATTACACATAGAAGGTTGTGAAAGTGGAACGTTTTACGAACACGGCGGCCAGGTGATTCATAGAAGATTTGGTATGATTGCATACGAAGAATGTCGTAAATATAGATTGTCGTTAAAGGTAATTCCTCCAATGTGTCCGTCCCGCGATTCGGATGCAGTTTATTTTTCAACGACGGCCAGAGAGAAATGTTGTCGTGACTGGACTTTGCCTCACGACTATAAACCGTATGCCAAGCCCCAAAGAGTAGGCACTTTAGCCGGCGGATCATCCACAAAAGTCGGAACTGGAACTTTGAAGATAACTGACGGTAGCACAATCTTTACTTTTACTGATGTTGTGTACGTACCGGACGCTTACATTAATTTCATCAATCCTAATCTGTTTTTACTTGATTATACTGACTCGCTTTCTACTACAACGGATGGTATTCGTCATTCACGTTTTGGAATGATTGGAGTACATGAAGGGTATCCTCGATGGTTACTCCGATCGACGTTGCGTGTAATTCGGCCAGTCAATCGTGCCAATTAAGCATAAGACGAAAATGGACAGGGCAAACGAAGAATCTAATTTATGCTGAATAGGCAGATGTGCTTCTGGTTGTATTGGGAATGATAATGTATGGAAAATCGAGCTCGGTTGCACACGTCAGCCCGAAATAATGAAGTTTCGGCTAGAAGAAAACACCAGCGTTAACATTTTTCTTGACCCTGACTGTAATCATGCAAGCTTCGAATCTTTTTAAAATTTTCATTTGATTACTCTAGACCTTATAGAGAGATTATTGTAATATTACACGGATTATTAATGTAGCATCTTTATAAACCAAAGGAATGAGTTTGGAAAAGCATTTGGTAGCGAGGTCTTTATCTTTGCCATACTATCACCAAAAAAAATTAAAAACAAGTATCCAAAACCGTTGTTTCAAATTATCAGGCTTATCCGAATAAGACTTCTGCGACGATGAGTATTGGGTACTGTGGAATTGCTGTCCATATACCCAGAGATGCCTTTTATCTTAATACAGAGGTTTTAGCCGATATTTGTATGCATCTGGATTTACTTCATCACTACAAACCTTTGATCATTCCACAAACATTTATGGATGCCAGTGGCGAGCACGGTACTATTGAAGGACGAGGAACATTGAAAATGGCTACAGAAGATGGTGATGTGATTAGGGTCCCAAATGTTGCCCACGTCCCAGAATGGAAAGATAACGAGCTCAACCCTTTACACATTGCATGTTTTCAAGATGACGAAGTTTACGAGGATGACAACAAGGTGATCCATAGGAGCCTAGGTAAGATTGCCTACATTGATGCTTTCGGCAGATATAGATTGTCATTAAAGATCATCCCTCAGGAGTGTCCATCCACCGACTTGAACGCGGTTTATTTCTCAACAACAGCTCGCGAGAAGATTTGTCGTGACTGGACTTTGCTTCATGACTATAAGCCATATGCTGAAGAACAAATAGAAGGCAGTTTAGTCGGGGGAACAACAAGAATTGCTGGAACTGGAACCTTGAAGATGACGGATGGTAATAATAGGATCTTTAGTTTTACGAATGTCGCGTACATCCCAGAGTCTAAAATAAATATGATTAATCCTCATCAATTTTTACTTAGTGAGACTGACACTCTTTCCATCGATGCTGTTGGAATTAGTCACTCACGTATTGGAAGGATTGGAGTATATGAAGGTTCTCCTAGATGGTTACTTAGATCAACGTTAAGTGTCATTCGTCCAGACAACCATGCCGATTATGGGAAGTATAAGGTTGGATAGTGAAAGGAAGAAATCAATGAAGCACAACTAGGTAAATTGTGCTTTTGGAAGGATTGCAAAGTCGGCTGGTTAATAAGGGAGCGTTCTGCAAGAGGCAAATCTATGAATGCTCGGTTCGTATTTTCATCCAGTGGTAGTCAGTCTCTTAAGCTATAGTTTGACCAGTCAGAGATTAACTTTTATTTGATTAGCTTAGATTTAATTAACTTTAACTAGCGATTTTATCAAACAACTGAAATTTTAAATTTTTTTTTTGGCTCGTCTTAAGTAATTCTAAATTTCCACATCCACACTATACTCCTTTACTCAATATGAGTTACATGGTTGCAAATGCCCTGAAGTTCCTAAGTTGGCTAAATGAATTTCTCCCGTTGGATCCCTGTGAACCACGCGATAAGAATAATTTTTATTTTGGCTATAGTTCCTTATCTTGTTTTTGTATGAACTTGGATTTACTTCATGACTACAAACCCTCAGAGAAGAAAAGTATAATAAAAACACCACATGGCGATATCGACGCTGTTGAAGGATTTGGATCGTTGAAGCTCGATACTGTTCAGGGCATTGTGACCATTCCAGGCGTAGCCTAGGTGCCAACAGCTAAAAGCAACCAGATACACACTGCAAAGTTATCTCTGTCCGAGGAGTTTCGCATAGGCCCCGATGAAATAACTTGCGAATCCTTTGGAAGGATCGGGATATTTGAAGATTCTACATATAGATTGACATTGGATGTTATTCGTCCATATACCGAAAGTATTTTGAAAGATCTCTCGAGTGTTAAATATCCAATATATTTTGCTACTACTATTAAAACACAGATTTGTCGGGACTGGACTTTACTTCACGAATATAGACCAGCAAATGACGAACGAAAAGCTAATGCTGAAACCAATTCAGCTGGCACCATTATCGGATATGGGAGCTTGAAGGTGACAGATGGGAAGGAACGCTGGAAGATTTTCAACGTTGCCTATGTCCCCGAGGCTAAGCTTAATATGATAAACCCTGACTTGTTCCTATTCTCTGATAGTGACTCGGTTTTCATTAAAAAATCTGGTATTTACCATTCCAGTCTTGGAAGGATTGGAGTCTCTGAGGGCAGCTCCACGAGATTGTTTAGATCAACATTAGGAGTCATTCCTCCAATAAACCACGCCAATCACGGATCAAGGAAGTGAAAAGGCGCAGATCCAAGAGAAAAGCACGGTTTAGTGGATGATGTAAGTAAGATTCTCAAAGTCAAATTCATGAAATTAACCAAATGTCAATGAATCAAGTGGATGAAGTGTAACACCTAGTAGAACAAGGTATGTATCTTCATATTTTATAGACCTATCTTTGGTTATTGGTATTTTAGATCAAGTTCAGGTAGAAGGAATTTAAGGCATGCAAATGAGAAACTCCTGATTGAATGGAGTTACTTCTTTCCCAGTTTGATTTTAATAACCATTAAGATTAATTGAAGAAATTATAGTAAAACTCTCGTGAAAGAACGATTGAGCGACCCCCAGCGGGAAACATATAATCTTACGGACCATCGAACTGAGGTACTGGTATTTTATTTCCTTGAGCAGCAAAAAGAAATTAAGCAGGATTTGTGTTGTATATCAAATGCCTTTACTCAGACAGCAAACCCCACGCGACTCAACCAAGATTTATATTTAGCCAATTTTGGTAATTCGTAAAGGCGACTTCGCGGCACTTGTGGCAAAAGCACACGAAGAACAATGAAAGACCCAATTTTTCATTGCCCCTGACTAAAGCCTTCATCTAACACCTCTTCTTTTTCCTACAACCTTACCATCAAAAATGAGTATTATGTTCCCAGAGCAAGTTGCTCTCCTTGATAATAATGCAATCTATCTTGTACAGCTGTTAGAACCGATACTTGAATCAACAGGGATTTAATTCATGACTACCAACAAGTAACCTCACCACAACAACTTCAGACAATGTTTGGAGACTCCGGGAATATTGAAGGTTTTGGAACATTTAAACTGGAAACGGACATTTTATGGCAAAATCATTGAAATTCCAAATTTTGTCTACGAGCCAACATATAGACATAATCAGATCAATCCTATTAGGTTCATAGAAAAGGATGAATCCTACGTCATGACTCGCAGACATGGCTTGCGCAGTGACCGCTTAGGAAAATTTGGAGAGTTTGATCCCTTGACTAACTTAACTAAGTTACCATTGCGGATTATTCGTCCAACTGATTGGACACATGAAGATTCGAAGTAGAGTAAATAGAACGAATCACTCTTTTAGATAAATTTCTCCTTTAATAAATTATACATCTAGTCCAATACATCACTAAGAAGACTTGACAGTTCATTTTGGGATATTCTATCCTACAATTCCTCCCAAATATTTAAGCTACTCTGCTGATTGACAAATCTATATGGAGAGAGTATGTGCGGTGGCAATCCACCCAGCAAAGGTACCTATATATACCTCTCAAAGTTTAGTTTTAATGCCAAGTAAGAACTTGACAGTGAAGCGAGAACGAAAAATTCTTCTGAACTCAAATTCGAAACTACGTCTACTTTATTCCCTAATACCCACATCTGTTTGTTTTCCTTTTGAAATATTTATTCAAAAATGAGTATAATGCTTCTAGATCACGCTAGCTTCCTTGATAAGAATCATTTTTATCTTGTCACTAGTGCTGAATATCATGTTTGTATGAACTTGGATTTGCTCACTGACTACAGACCTCTCGCAACTCCCAAGCAACCCAGTGATCCTTTCTCTGAAGGGAATATCCGAGGATGGGGAACCTTGAAGTTAATGACTGAAGACGGGAGGATCATTACCATCCCGAAAGTTGCTTACATTCCCGAATCAAGAAATAATCAGCTCAACCCTTTGAGTTTAACAAGCAATGGAAATGACCATGTCTTATTCCATTCATCAGGTGTTAGGCACATGGGCTTAGGTGAGATTGGTGTCCATGAACGATCCACCACTAGACTATATAGGTTGACGTTACCAATTATTCGTCCAGAGACTAGAATCCCAAAGCTAAATCCGATTGATAAGGATGCCTTTTATCTACTCGATGATGCTATCATGAATATTACCAGGGATTGGACTATGCTTCACAACTATAAGGCATCAAGCGCCAAAAAGTATGTTGGAATATCGGATACTATAAATGACGAAATTCTAGGATATGGGGACTTGTGGTTGCGTATTGGTAGTACAGGTATTAAAATTCTGAATATTGCTTATGTTCCCGGCTTTAAATGGAATCTTCTCGACACTAATGAATTATTGCCTATTCTCGCTGAGTGTATTCTGACAGGGAAATGTACTGAAGTTCCTCATACATGTCAGGGTCATGCTGGAAACCATGGATGTCCCCCACAAAAGGTATATAAGTTAACATTGCCAGTTAGTCGCCCAGATAATCGTGCTAACCAATCATATAAGAAGCGGAAACTCGAAAGGTAAAAGACGACAGGGCAGCTAGAATACCTTCTAGAAAATCGGGCAGATGGTTTTATAGCATAATGATTAGTGAGACCAGGCTGATAGGCAAACAGATACAAACCGGTGGAATCGCCCAAACGGATGGAATAAAGTAAGTACTTTTATGTATTTATTTGATATATAATGTGCGGAGATCAATCTAAGTGCGAAGACTATCATTAAACTGAGATAATGTGGAGAACCTAATTGGTTTGTTTTAATTGACAAAGATCCAACAAGAGCTATTTAGGCTTATTTTATATATCAACTTGGGGTAGCCTCGCAGTATGCTTTATGATTTATTGATCATAAAAGTCACCTACAATGCAAAGAAAACCCCCCAATAGTATATGACCTAGATAATTCACGTAGAAACCGCGCCTATGTATGTCGGTAATAATAAATAATATTGGCTCAACAAGTTTATTCGCTCCCCAGAATGTAAACAAATAGAGGATTGTTCGTTAAACCTTTTCTTTTTCTCTGGTTACTAGATCGCCGATTCTAATATAAGATCTAAGTATGAACGCGAAAGGGCCATTCAGGACACCGTTGATGCTTATTTGACGGACCCAAGCCTATCAGTCCTTCCACGGTTCATGGAAGAATGAATGGCGTTCCGAGCATGTTAGTAGCACAAGACACAAACAAGAAATTGACAACAATACAAGAAAGAATGGATTAAGGATGCTAACCATGAACACAAGTGTATTTCTGATAAACCGATAAAGGCACTAGCTACCGCAATTTCCAAATTGAATGGCGACCCAGAAGAATTATATCCTGGACGGGTCAGAGATTTCCGCAAGAGGTATAATGATACCATTGAATCAGATTCCGAGACAGATCGTGTATCTGTAGCATTTAAGTCGATAACTCTTTAGGATATAAAGGAAATGATTTTTGTATTGAGGGATCCTAAAGTTTGAAATCATTCAAAGGATCTAGTTGAACAAACATTGATTGACATATGCGACCAGAACATTTTCTATATTGCAGCTCTGAAACTTGAAAATGCCAGACTAGACTCTCAAATAGCAGAGTTAACCTCTACGGGTAATACGATAGGTATAAAGCCAAATTGGACCGTACTGTTTGTCTCACCGAGACTCAGACTGTAACTCACGTCTGGCAATCGCAAGGTTCGAAGGAATATATTGGGTATAAAGTTCAAAGATAAAGTCATAAGAAACGATATTGTTCTGAAACGGTAAACCATCTCGGAATTGAAAGTTGTTATCCAATGTGCTAGGTAAGTATTTTGCAATTTATGATTCTTATCTTGAATTTTTGTGTGTTTACGACTCTCTTGTTATTAGCCAATTGTATATTAACGGCATATTGGTATTCAAACTAGCTGCTTTTCTTTACGAATTTAATCAAAATGAATTTCGCCGCTTGGACATGGCACATTCTACTTTGATGAACATCTCTTTTGTTTCTAGTAGCATACCAATTTTTTGCAGGCTTTAGTTCAAGACTATAAACACTTAATCAGACCAAAAGTACTAAATATATACCCCGCAAAGATCAATATTATTGAATAATACTCAGCATTGAAGTCACAAAGTAATAAAGTTAGTTAGCTCAATGTCTCTAGAAAATCCTAGATAAAGAATTGGCAGCGCACCGGAAATTAGGAGTGTATCAAATGTCAAATTGACTTCGTGTTTTGTTTACCCCGATCAAATATTACTTCCCATCTTCATTGGCCACTTTCCTTATTACCTTCACCAAAATGAGTCTCATGCTTGCATCAGAGATGGCCAATCTCGACAGGAACGCGATTTATCTTGTGACAAGTGCTCAAACTAATGTCTGTATGAATGTTGGTTTGCTTACTGATTACAAAATGTTATCTAAACCAAAATTACTAAGGACAGTCTATGGTACTACTTCAGTTATTGAAGGTGAAGGAACGTTGGTTTTGATCCACAATCACGAGAAAATTATCATTCCAAATGTTGCATATGTTCCAGGATTTAATAATAATCAACTCAATCCTAGACTGTTGTTTAAGCCTAATCAGCCAACTCATTTTCTTTTGGATGCAAATGGAATGACTAGCCCCATTTTAGGAAGATTCGGAATCGTAGACCCTGGCACCAATTTATATAAGTTGACATTAAAGATACAACTTCCAACACCCAGAGCTCCCTTGCCCGAAGATGAGAATGCAATTTATTTTAATACTAGTTCTGATCATCATGTGTGTCGGGATTGGACCTTGTTGCACAACTATAAACCATTTACTGAACCTTCACTCATCACTATTAATAAAAAGAAGGGTTATATTATGGGAACTGGAACGTTGAAATTGGTCGATGAAAATAATGGAATTTATCTTTTTAGGGACATCCCATTCGTGCCGGAGATTAACCGTAACATAGTTAATCCCATTCGTCTATTATCGGAGCGTAATGATAGACTTTCATTCGATGGTAATTGTATTACTCATTCACGTTTTGGGAAGATTGGTGTTCGTGATGGTTTGACTGCGTTGTATAGAACGACCTTACACCTTGATCCTCCAACTAATCGAGCCCACCAATCAAGGAAACGAAAACACGAGTAAAAGCTACAGAGCAAGCTAATATATAAGGTCCCCAGATATGAGGTTGTGAATCGTTAATTAAATCAGAACCTAAGACAAGGGCACAGACGCGTATACAAATTCTCCCTAGTAGGTAACAGGTAATTTTATAATATGTATCGTCGAATATAATTATTTCTGACTAGTTAAATTCATGAGTATAGTAAATTGACAATCTTGCTAGGCAAATTCTTTTGCATGAAGATAGCCTTTCTTGTTGTTGTTGCAAAACTTATTCTGATAGGTCGTTTAGAAATTTCGCGACCATTTCATATTCACCAGATCGCAATTTTTTTGATGGACAAATTGAAAATTAGCCTTCAGAATTTGATTTCTTCTCGTTGAAAGGTTGCTGATTTTTGCAATATACAAGGAGAATAATGACAGACAATCCAGTCACTTTTCAACAAGTGGTATGTTCAACGTTTATTCTTACTCCAAAGACTATCTGGATTTGAGAAGGGCTTATTATGGACATTTAGTACATGTGATGGGAACACACCTCGACCACAAGATTCTGACCAGTTCAGTGGCAACACATCGAGAGGTCCTATCACTCAGTATGTATGTCACATTTATGCCCATTCCAATAATGCTGAAGAGATTTTCCCAACTAAATCAACCAGATTTATAGGGTTTTTTTCATATCATGTACTAATAAATACAAATAGGCGGAATCAATATTACAAGACATGTTAACAAACATAGTCAAGCAACAAACTCTAACCACCATAGCCAATCACATAAGTATCGAAAGAGAAACGGCAGGCAATCATGATGAGAATTTCCCCCATATTACAAATTTACAAGTTGGACTGACTTTGGATATATTTGGACAAGATAAGAATAAATTAAAAGTCGCCGAAACTTCACGATATTTCCCCTGTGAAAATTGTGGAAGAAAGATCGCTGGTGGAAGATTTGCATCCCATGTTAACAAATGTTTGGAAAGAAGGAGGAAGTAGGATAATTGAAATGGTGGCAATGCAACAAGACATTTTCGAAATCCTTTGTGGAGGTGGGGGGTGGGGGAATGGGTTGTTGTTGCGTGTACGTGTACTGGTTGCGGGTTGCTTACAATCACTGTGGCACCGGGTGGTGTATTGGGAAATTTTATTGCCGATATGGTCAGAAGTAGCCGATTTCATTGTCGTGAATGGGGGGCATGAACCCCATAAAATAGGATTAGGGGAAAAAATGGAGCCATGGGGGGAGGGGGTCATTGAGAGGAAGAGGGTGGGGTCATTGAGAGGAAGAGGGTGGGCCAAGACATGCTGCACTACGGCCTTTAGGCATTTCTCCTTAAAGTTCCCGTGGAATGAGTCCGAGGTCTATGTAGCATTAATTGGGATACAGAAATAATGACTTCATAGATTTAATCAAAAGTTTGTTGGGGGGGGAGGAACTATTAGTTCGAAATGGAGAGTTCCTCCATAGGCTCAAATTATGGTAGAAAAGTGGAAAAACAGAAATAGGAAGTCCAATGCGATGTTATTTTAAAGCCTGGGGGTGCTATTGAAGATTCACTACAATATTGTTTAGTTGCCACTGATATGTGAAACAATCATCTTTCTCCGTTATTAAAATAAAATGCAAAATAATGAAAAGTGGGAAACAGACAGATTTCATTGATAGAAAAAAAAAAAAAAGAAAATGCTTTTTGCGGGGAAAGAGGGAAAAGTCTATAACCTTTGTTTATTTGCTTAATTGCCTTTGATACCCATGGATAACCGAAACTTATTCTATTTTTACAGTTTATAGAAGTTTTTAATAGAATAATGTCTGCATTTCGTATTAGATCGAGTGACCTCCACTTTCGTCTTTGCTAATTATATAAACTGTACCCATCCCCTTCCTCAGACAGCTCCCAAAAAAAAAGAGCATATCAATTGTTGCAAAAAAACATAACTGACACTCACTCATCCAGACAAACAAATGACAGACACATTATTCCCCAAAGGTGATTTCACAAAAGAAATTGCCTTAACTCAATTACCATTCAAAACTAACATTCTTGATAATGTTCCTATCAAAGGCACAAAAATCAATGCCAATTATTCTCCAATCTACAGAAACAAAGCATTCCCTAGTAGATTGATCAAATCAATTCATCCTGATTTAGACTCATACTACCAATTCTTTATGAATGCCGCTGAATTATACAAAGACAAACCATGTCTTGGTTGGAGACCATATGATTATGTTTCCAAAACTTCTGCTGATCGCTTTGAAAGCTGGACTTATGGAGAAGTCAGTGAGAAGAAGAAACATATTGGTGCTGGTTTTATTAGATCATTATTAGAAAATCCATTTAAGAATCTTGAATTAGAATCTCATAAGAAGATTGAATATCATTTAAGAGATTGGTCAAATTATGGGAATAAATTAGGTGCGTTAGATAATGAAGATTGTGCAGTTGAAAAAGACACTTCATTTATTTTGTCGATTTTTTCAACTAATCGTGTTGAATGGATGTTAACTGATTTGGCATGTAGTGCTTATTCCATTACTAATACTGCTTTGTATGATACTTTAGGTGCGAATATTACTGAATATCTTTTAGAATTGACTAAATCCCCAATTGTGGTTTGTTCAATGGATAAAATTGAATTATTATTGAAACTTAAAGAGAAATATCCTAAAGAATTAGCTGATCTTATTTCAATTGTTTCAATGGATCCAGTTAAGTTCATCCCCACCGAGATTTTTGAATATGCATATTCTTTAAAAGTTGTGATTCAAGATTTACAACAAATTGAAGACATTGGTGCAAAGCGTCCAATCAATGAATTACCACCTTCTCCAGATGCATTATACACCATCTCATTCACCTCGGGAACTACTGGATCCAAACCTAAAGGTGCCATGATTTCCCATCAAAATGTAGCTGCATATGCATCATTCTTATTATGTTTTGAACCACAACCTACTGCAACTGACAATAAAGCATTTGTCTTTTTACCATTGACTCATATCTATGAACGTGAAACTAGTACTTTTGCAATTGCAACTGGTTATTATTTAGGATTCCCACAATTGACAGTCGGTCAAACTGGTATTAATACTTTTAATAACTTAATTGACGATTTAAGAATCTTTAAACCAACTTATTTTTCAATTGTTCCTAGAATCTTAACTAGAATGGAAGCTTTAGTAAAGAGTAAAATCAAGGAATTACCAGAAGATGAACAAGATAAGGTTAACAAAATCGTTCAATACAAAATGAGAGAACAATCCAAATATGATGGTAGTACCGGATATGATTCTACTTTTGATAACTATGGTCCATATAAGGAATTACGTACTTTTATTGGATTTGATAATTTGAAATGGGTTCAAACTGCATCAGCTCCAATTTCTCCATCATCAATTGTTTATTTGAAAGCTAGTTTAAATATGGGTATTCGTCAATTATACGGTTTAACCGAAGTAGGTGCTGCTATCACCTGTAGTGACGCCTATGAGATGAAGCCTGGTTCTTGTGGAAGTATTAGTCTTTCTGGAGAGTTCAAATTACGTAGTGCTCGTGAGATGGGATATGATGTTGCCAACAATCAAGGTGAGATTTTAATTAGAGGTCCACAAATTTTCAAAGGATATTATTATAATAAACAAGAAACCGTTGCTAATTTTAATGAAGACGGATGGTTCCATTCTGGTGATATTGGAAGTGTTGACCCAAAGACTGGTAGGATTTTTATTGTTGATAGGGTGAAGAATTTCTTTAAGATGCAACAAGGAGAATATATCTCGCCGGAAAAGATTGAAAATAGATATTTGAGTTCAAATCCTACAATTGCTCAATTGTATGTTCATGGAAATTCCTTGAAACCATATTTAGTGGGTATTGTTGGGATTGAATATGAAAAAGGGTTGAGATTTTTAAATCAAAACTTTGGATATAATAAGATTGCCATGAGTCCTGATGAATTGGTTCAAGAAATGAATAAAGTCGATATTAAGACTAAGTTCTTAGAAGGAATGAATAAGAATGTTAAGGACAAATTAAGTGGATATGAAATTTTACATAATATTCATATTGAAATTAATCCATTGACTGTAGAAAGAGACGTTGTTACTCCTACTTTTAAGATTAGAAGACCGGTTGCTTCTAAGTTTTTTGCCAAAGTTTTCCATAGATTGTATGAGATTGAACAATCATTGGTTATTAAAGCTAAGTTAAAGACTGCTAAATTGTAGTGGTCTCTTCTTTTTTTTACTATTAGTTCCTATTCGTTTAGATAAGTTTTATAATTGTGTAAGTGAATACAGTAGATCATATTTTTGTTATCGTACTAAGGTGCTTCCTAATTCGGAAGGAATAAGCGGAGGAAATTTTTCTATGTCTTTCAAAATTAAAGTTGACTCATACGAGGCATAAACTGTATGCAGTCAATTTTTAATTAATTATAGAAAACTATTTCAACAAAGAAAGAAACGAAAGGCAGCAAAAAAAAAAAAAAGAAAAGTATGGAGACATTTTCACTGCCAAGAATGCATGACAAAATAAATTTACATGATGGAAGAAATTCAATATTTCAGACAACTCTCTCTCTTTTTCATTCTTATAGGTTAGACAAGTTTTTCCACTCTTTTGTTATAGTAAACCATATACATACAGACAGACAGACAGTTTCGAAGAAATGATAGCGCCACCACCACCTATTGTAATCGACTCACAAGCTATAAGTGGAATAACAGGTTCAATATCAATAGCATGTTGGATTATTGTATTTGCACCCCAAATTTATGAAAACTTTAAACGGAAATCTTCAGAAGGCTTATCATTGCTGTTTATAATATTATGGTTAGCAGGTGATGTATTTAATGTACTAGGATCAGTCTTACAAGGAGTGTTGCCAACTATGATTATATTGGCTGTTTATTATACTCTTGCGGATATTGTTTTGTTATGGCAATGTTTAGTATATGGCCATGGAGAAACCAAAGCAGATTTAATTCATTTATCTCCGGCAAATCCATTGAGTGAGGATGTTTTGGAAACAGTTATGACTGAGGAACATCATTGTCATTTCCATCAACATTTACAAGAAGACGAAGAGGATGAGGATGATGAAGACAATGTAAGAAATGGATTTATAGATAGAGATTTGGAAGCTCCTTCTTCAGAAGCTTCTTCTTGTAGTTCTATTTCCAAATTATCCCAAATGCAAGCTCTCTTGATGAATACTTTAATGGTTGCATTGGTCATTGCAGCAGGTGTGATTGGGTGGTACATATCATATGTTAGAGAAGCTGAACATAATAGAAAACATCCAGGACATATACGTAAACCAGAAGAAATGATATTTGATCCATTAGCACAATTTTTTGGATGGTTGTGTGCAGTGTTGTATCTTGGATCAAGAGTGCCACAAATTGTATTGAATTATGAACGGAAATCGTGTGATGGTATTTCATTTATGTTTTTCTTATTTGCATGTTTAGGAAATTTGACGTATGTCATTTCGATATTGTCAATAGATACAAGTTTGAACTATTTATGGGTAAATTCTTCTTGGTTGGCTGGATCATTGGGGACTTTGGCTTTGGATTTTACGATTTTTGTTCAATTTTTCATGTATAATGAAGATGATCTTGATTCTGATGAATGTGAAAGTGAATTGCCAACTGAAGAAAGTTCATTAATTGCAGGTCCAAGAGAAGAACGTGGTGCATATGGAACCAATTAACAAGTAAACCCAAAAACAAACTAATAGCATTCAATAAAAAACAGCATATGGGGTCATAGAGTAAGTAAGTAATCTAAATTTTGTACTTTATTTTAGAGATCTTTAAATAAAAATTATATTTATTATTACATTGAAGTATGGTATGATATGACATGATATGGTATGATCATAATGATATTGTGTCGTAATGAATATTGTTCGCTTCTTTGCGTCAACTGATGGGCTAGAAAGGATATGGTGTGATTCTCTTAGATATTCCTTCCATACATAATTGCCGTTTTATCCATTTAGAGTTCCTTGCTTATAAATATTTATACCAGATAGGTGATAGACCTCGGTAATAATTGGCACATAGTTAAGAAAAACACTGTGAAAGCCATTGCGGAGTTAATATTATTACACAAATAAGGGATGTTAATTCCGCAACTGCCGTAAATTCAGCCGATTATGTAATCAAATGTTTAATCATCATAGAATTTATATTTAGCCTACAAATTACGCATAATTAACATATATTTATAAATATCAGCCACTTTGTTTTCTATTTACAATTTAATAGAATTGGAATACAAAAGTAAACAGATAATCAAACATAATCAATGGGTGACACAACAGAAGATAGAAAAATTAAACGAAGGAATAGAATTAGCTTAGCATGTGCGGCATGCAAAAAGAAGAAAACAAAATGTGATAGAGGAAGACCATGTTCATTATGTGTTAAGAATAAGACAGAAGATCAATGTACCTATGATGAAAGAATTCTGAATCTACCCGCTGACAAGAAAAGACGTTTAATTGAAAAACATAATATTCAACATGCGGCTACTGTTACTGGTACCAATGTTACTACAGGTATAGCCACAGGTACTAATCTGACGACCAAAAGAAATGACGTTTGCGTGCTTATACCCAAATTTGAATTAGAGCAACTACAAAACAAACTCAAAAGACTTGAATCAGAATCATATACACATGGCTCAACAACAACAACAACAACAACCAAAGAACTACCAATTGTCTATGTCGATGCTGACCCAGATGTCGTATTTAACAAATCAATAGGCACTTATCGCAAAGTAATCTTTTCCTATCATGACGAAACGCTTCCTGGACACATCCCTATGGAGAATATAATGGCAGATAGGATCGAACCCGTAGATCCAAGTCTATCAATCACCAGCAAGATGCGATTATCGGAAATATCTCCATCCCAAGACCATTTCATAGTTGGAGTGAACCCATATAATGATCCTGAAGACACGATTAATTTCGATGATAAAGTAATACCCACCAATCGAGGAAGTAGACCTACTTATTTTTCACCGCTTTCATGGACGTATATTACTAGAAATAGTGAAACTTTGGCATTGATTAGGAAATATGCTTCTCAAGATAATAATGCGAAACGGAGTGGGAGTAGTGGGGTGGTTCCATTTCCCATGGAAACGTTCAAGAAAATGATGATACCCAGTGATGAGAAAATAAAGTCGACTTTGAATTTGGATGGGAGTCAAGTGGACCGATTTGAAGAAAAACTGAAAGCGACTGAGGATGGTGATGATGAGAATGAAGAATATCCAAATCAACAACAGAAAGTGAAGCAGGAGAAGCAGAGTAGTCCAAGGATTGATATGAACAAAATGAATATGAGCAGTTTTACCCTCGGATTAACAATATTAGGAGGCAGACCACGAGATCGAGAATTGAATCTAATTGAACAAATCAAAAATATTATGCCCAGAAGGAAAGTCATTTGGTTATTGATTAAACGATTTTTCAGTATTTTATATCCATTCTTCCCATATATCGATGAACGTGATTTCCGGGCTCAGACAGCTAGATTAGTCGGAGTTGAGTCATATTTAGATGAACCACCTACTGTTGAGATTAGTAAACGATTAGATTTGGCTCACGTTAGTTTATTATTCGTGATATTGAGATTGAGTTATTTAAGTTTATTTTATAATCGAAGTTATCATAATGAAACAATCTTAACCAAATCTGACTTGAGTCCAGATGAGGCTGAAAAGAAATATCTCCTACTTAATCCAATCAACATATATGCTATCGATGTTGCTCGTGAATGTTCTCATCATTTCCATCGTTTGGGGAAAGTCAGTTTTCCCATCTTACATGCGGCATTTTATCTCAGGATATATAGTATCTTTGCACCAGAAGAAGGGGATGGGATTGAGGGTGGAGACGGTTTATCCCAGAATAATAATTTAATCTCAATGTGTTATTCCCTCGGATTGAACCGTGATCCAGACAAGTTTCCTAATGACTTAAGCGAAAGAACCAAGAATCTATATAGAAAAGTATGGCATTATGTGGTTGTATTGGAACATATTCATGCTTATACTTTTGGAGCTCCTATTTCGATCAAGCTGGAGTATTATGATACTAAGAGACCATTTTATACTATTGAGAATTCCAATCTTGTGGATGTTGAACTTGAAAAAACCTCCCATGCGGTATTTGCATTCGGAACTGCATTAGTAAAAGGGCCAATTCATGATCTTATCAATATTTATTCTAGTGTCGGAAAAGATGTGAAAGTTATGGATTTGACTACTCATTTGAATCATTCGGAACAAGGGGTATTTAAGATCATGGGGAAGGTGAATGATTATGTAAATGTACTTGAATCCGACGATTCTAGTTATCATACCACCAAGATTATGAAGGTGACGATATTATTAAGATTGCATGTTTTCTTTTTGGTTAATTATTGTAATTTGTTTAATTACTATGAGAGAAGGAATAATAAACTTGGGTTTTTCTATTTGAAGAAATTAATGGCTCTCGCATTAGATGAAATCTTACCGAATATATTTGCATTAATTGCCAGAACTCATGAATTATTTGGGGAAGGTGCTGATTTATATATCAACCCCTCGATTATTCAAGCACTTGTGAGAATATTTGATGTTGCTTTAGTTGCGATTGTTAGAACAAATTTTTCATTATACAACATGCTGGGATCTCCAGATCATAAGACAAGACTAAAGACCGATGTGAAGTATAAAACAATTTTTGATGTTTCTAATAAATTCATTATTTCGATGGAAAAATCTTGTCGTATTTGTTTAATGGCAGCTTCAATCTTAAGTAATAGGTATTATTTTGCTTGGGCTGTTGTCAAGAGTCAAAATTATTTCTTGAAATTAGTGACAAATCCTCAATTTTATAAAGATAATTCTAATTGTGAATTACAATTTTATCAACCTAGCGCGGCTGAAGTTAATGAAATTGCCGATATGGCACTTGCTAGTTTGGCATATATGGAAAAACGAGTTTCGAAATATTGTGATTTGGATATTCCTTCGTTGTTCCGAAAACAAGACTCTCGATCTGAATCTCATTCACGAGAAAATTCAGCTGTTCCTTTTCCTCCAGCATCACCCATGCCTCTAAGTACCGGGTTTAGGGTAAGCAATAGTATAAGTCAAGCTTCTGATTTAAGTACATCTGAGGTAAATACTCCAGCAAGTATAGATTCGTCGCATGGGCTATTCTTTGCTGGGTTCGAGGATTTGACATTTGATAATAGTGCTGAGATTGATTCTATTTGGTTACAGATGTTACAGCTGAGAAATAATAATCAAGTGAGTGAGTTAAATCCTGGAAATAATAATGTCCCAAGTCAACAGACTGGGTACAGAGCCCATGGAAAGGAGTTGTTAAATGCTAATGAGGGAAACAGTAGTGGCATAGCTGTGCCAGTTGGTGCTGGAGCTGGTGGTAATGGTAGTGGAAGTGGTTTTGGGGGACAGCTTAGTTATGATAATGGGAATATGAGTGGTAATGTTGGTAGTAATTTTGGATATCCTATGACGAATCAATTTTTTGATAATTTTTCAAGACCTCGTGAGCTTAATGATGTTTATTTGGATTTGTTTAATGATTTGCCATTTGATAAACTTTTTGGTTAATGTTTTATAAATTGTTCTGTACGTTTTGTATGTGTTTGTAATTTTATGTTTTAATATCTGATAGTATATTTCAAATAGCTGCAAATTTCTGTTGTTTTTTCGTCAAAAAACTTTTCTTCGTAAACTAATAATTGTCAAACAACACCCACGTTGTCTAGATGTACTGATTAGAACGATTAGTATTCTTGACTTCAAGAATTGCCTGGTTATTATGGAATTGTGGATATTCTGGTATATCTTCGTGTAATCTCGTTATTAATCGCTAACAATAACTGACAGTTGAAAGATTTTAAAGTCCGAGGCAAATTAAATTATTTTTTCCGAATTCGGAAGTAAACTGCTCGGCAATTTCCAAATGGAGAAAGCAAAATTTTTTTTTTCGTTGGTATGCCGCATTGGTCCGATAAAAATAATGCCATGGCTTAGTCTATTTATGTCCGACAGACAGACAAAAAAAAAAAAATGGTAAGATTTGTAATCTCCCTTTGTTTCCATCTGCTGCCATATTTTTTTTTACAACCAATTCAATTCATTTCCTTTTACTTCCCATCCAATAATCAAACAGTCAACCAATCAAAGAAAATGTCAGAACATTTTAACGGCAATATAGCTCTAACGATAGAGCCATCAACAACAACGACAACCAATGTTAAACCAATGAGAAAGAGGTCAAGAACTTCTTTAGTATGTGGAAATTGTAGAAGAAAGAAAGTTAGATGTGATAAACAATATCCATGTTCTAATTGTGTTAAATCTAAATGCATTGATACTTGTCATTATGATAATAGTACTAGCAACAACACAGATTCTACTGCCACTAAGATGGCACCAACCCCTTTACCTAGTCAATTAGATTCGGCCCCTTCATTACCTTATGTCTCCAGTGCAAAGAATCCAATCGTATTTGCTAATCAAAAACATAAGAAACAAAAGGTACATCATCATAATCATTCACATCATACTAATACATCTCCACAACAACATCATCAGCAGGAACCGGTTGCACTTGAACTTCAACCGACACTAACGCAGGCACCTGGAACAGCTTCAAGCGCAGCAAATGATCAAGTCACTATATCTTTAAGCGAATTGACTTCTTTAAAGGAAAGGCTACAAAATATTGAATCATCTATAATCAAGAACAATAGCAGTCCCACTTCTCCTCAGAGACCACCACCACAGACACTTCTACAACCTCCTACTCCTTCACATAGTCAAGTCAATACTCATTATAGTTTTGCCGAAACCATGCGTAAAGCTTCCACTCCTGGGGTTTTACCACCGCTTATTGCTTCCGCATGGAGTCCAGGACCTTCAGACTCAAATATATTCAACCAAGGAATACCTTCTTCTACTTCACAGCCGGTACTGGGAAGATTATCTACATCTTATAATATTTCAAATACAAGAAGTCAATCACCTCCAGGTGGCGCAATACAATTGCCTCCACTTATGTTCAATTCGAAGCAACTGCTGATGAATTATCCAGCAGGATTCAGTCCTACCAACAGACCAGTCACTCACAATGGGATAGTATCCGAAGATAACACGCCAACATATTCTGCAACGGCCAATAATTCACAAATTAGACCTGGATATGGCAATTCAACTGATTCATCTCCGAACTTCCCAATTGCTGATCGTCCACGTGAAGAAACTTTACTCGGATATAACCCATATTTGAATGATGAAGATACGATTAATTTTTATGAAGATTATACTTCAGTCTACATTAAAGAACCTCATCGTCGTGTCAATTTCGGACCATTTGCATGGTCATCATTAATGCGTAGAGATAAAGCTTTGACCGTCCTTTGGGATTATGTTGCCAAAAAGAAGGAAAAGGATTCGTCACAGACTTTGGTATTTGCAGAAGTAAATCACGAAATCACCCAGGAAAACAATGCTGTTGTAGCTGGTGAATCAACTGAAACGGATGCATCCTTTAAAAAGAGAGCCTTGGAAACTGATGGATATACGGATATGATCCCATATAATAATATCTTAAAAGCTCGTATTGCGCAACAAGAAAAACCACAAGAACAAGTTATGACACAAAAGGAACAGTTGAATAAGAATTGTTTACGATTAGGATTAACTTTCTATGAAGGTCAAATTGATCGTGAATTAATGTTAATCGATAAGATCCAATTCATCCTTCCTAAACAAAAAGTCATTTGGAAATTAATTGATCGATTTTTCACATGGGTATACCCCTTCATGCCATTTGTGGATGAGGAAGACTTCCGTGAATCAATCAGTAAAATAATCGGACCGGAAGGATATGAAGACGCAAAAATAAGTGAAATTAAAGTAGAGAAGAGATTGGATTTAGCCGTGATTGGAACATTGTTGGTGATGTTAAGATTGTCTTATCTTTCCTTATTTAGCAATAAGACATCAGTGAATGAAGAACGATTGAATTCAGCTGATCCTTGTGAACATTCTCAATGTGTGAAATATTTATTACAGAATCCAATCAGTATAAATACCGTGGATGTTTCACAATGCTGTTTATACCAATTTCAAATCTTGAGAAAAACATCATTACCGGTTTTACAATTGGCATTTTATTTACGGTTATATCATACGTACGCGCCAGAAGATGGCGATGGTGCCGATGGTGGTGATTCACAGACTTTGAATGCAGTATTGATCCAAATGGCATATTCTTTGGGTTTAAATAGAGAACCCGACAATTTCCCTGATGTTTTAAATAACAAGAAACAAAATCATTTGTGTAGAAAGATTTGGCATTATTTAGTCTTGGGTGATATTCATAATTCATATTCATTTGGAAGTCCTACCGCCATAGATCCAAATTCGTATGATACGAAATTTCCATTCCATGAAGAAGGAAATGAGAATTTGAGAGATAAGACATTAGATCGATTTGTTACTTCCTGCTTCTTCCCTACTTATATTAGATTATATGAAATTTTGACAGCTATTCTTAAGTTGGTACTTAATGTTCCTGGAAGAACTAAGGTTGGTGAATTATGTAAGTTATTAAGTGAATTTGAAGTCTTGATGGCTCAGAAGTATGGAAGTTTGGCTGATTGTTTAAACCCACCTACTAAGGATACACATATCTTTGCCAGGAATTTCCCCACGAAATTCTATATTTCATTAAAGACATTTTTAGTTGCCGTTTATTATCATATTTTCCTCCATTATGAAGCCACTAATCTAGAACTTTCATTTTTCTATTTGAAGAAGATAATTAAGATTGCATGTACGGATATGATGCCACATTATTTTGAATTATTAGGTAATAGTGAAGTTATTTGTGATATGATGATTAATCCAAAGCTTGAACAAATTATTCATAAATTGAATCAAATCAATTTAGCCATGATTGTCAGAGTGAATTTCATGATTTATCAGTGCAGATCACAACCTGATCATGATGTAAGATGTTCTTCAGATCCTCAATACTTCGCATACTACAAGGAATTATGTAAATTTTCATCATGTGTAACTAGATGCGCTGAAGTTTCAGTTGCTGCGGTGTCAAAGTTGAGTAATAGATATTATTATGCATGGAGAATAACAAAGAGTCACACATATTTATTAAAGATTGTTACAAATATGGATTTTTATGCCGATGAATATAAGAATCATAATGATAAATTGAACCTTTCTACTTATTCAGTGGATCAAATTGAAGAATTGGTTGGGATGTGTGAAGGAGCTTTAGCAAAATTGGGAAAACAATGTTTGATTGGGAAGTCATTCTGTAAAGAAGCGGAATATAAATTACAAAAGAGTAGTAATTCAATAAGTACCGCTTCATCAACATTCTCGAACAACGACACTCCATTAGAGATTGCATCTACGGTTGATACCGATTCTTCATCGTATGATAACAACAACAATCCTAACAATGCCAACAACGACAAGAATAATGATACGTTTGCAAATGAATTCGGGTTGAATTTCAATAATAGTGAAGAAATCGATAAATTATGGATTCAAATGTTGTCCATGAAACATGAAACCACCGGCTTGTCATCCGCCCCCGGTGGACCAGTCGCCCCACCTACACCAAGCTCACTATCGAGAAGACAGAGCTATGCTCCTACTCCGATGACAGGAAGTTTTAGAAGTCAGTTTACTGGGAATAATGTCGCCCCAACACCAGCCAAGTATGGAACTCCGGGGTTGCCTGATTTGTTTAATGGAATGGATGTGGACGAGAGTGTTCCGTTTGATATGTTTGGTGATTTGCCTTTTGATCAGTTGTTTAGTTTTTAATTTTGAGAGATGGATGTTTTATAATGTATGTTGACGAATTAATTAATTTTGTATTATTTGTATAATATCTAATTGTTTATAGTAAGTAATTTATTTGGTTTTTACTATGGATCATATCCTCTCGTAGAAGTTGTCAGTTGTCGGCAGGTTCCAGATTTCACTTTGGTCGGACCTCTATGTCTTCCTCTTATATCACCTAGCAATTACTTGCTCTAATTAGAGTTACCCTTCCTTCGGTTGGCTTGAGAGTACTATGTCCGCAACATGCAGGTACTGCGTTTACTATATACAAGTAGTGAAACGCAAACAAACAAGCTTACAATCCTGAAAGTACAAAAGCTGCATAGTTTACTTTTTTGCAAAGGAAAATATCACATTCTCACCAAATTTTTCTTTTAAGTCTTTTTCATCAACACTTTTTAAACACTTCTCAGCCAATTCCGAATTATCAAATTCAATAAATGCCAAATTTCTAACCTTCACCAACCTTACATTAATAAATCCATCAAAATCTCCAAAATAATCAGATAAATCAATTTTATAGTCTTGAGATAGATTTTGAATAAGTAATATATTATGACGTGGTAATGATTTCCAATCTTCCAATTTAATCCTCTTAATACCCTTTTTGGTCTTAGCTTCTAAGTCTCGTTTAAGATTCGTTTCTTCCTTCCTTCGTTTTCGTTCTTCAATTTGAGGTTCATTATTGGTTAATTTATGATATGAATCAGAATTTGATTTTGCAAACGAGATATGTATGGGTTTTGAAAATAATTGATAATTTTGTAATTCTTTAATTGCTTTTGATGACGATTCTTTGGATTCGTATGTTATGAAAGCTTGTCCTTTCATTTTTAGATTCTTATGGGCCGTGATTTGAAGGATGGTGCCATATTTGGAGAACAAGGTCTCTAGAGATGTTTTTAATTTGGTGAGTGAGATTTTATCATTTAGATTATTGATATAAATTGTTTCAATGGGACTCTGTTCCGCTATTGGTGATTCCTTTGATGTCATTTGAATTGAAGATCCGATAAGCTTATAAAGTCAGATAGTCAATAGTTAAAAGTAGACGCATCCTTGAAAGTTTGCATCAAATTCATTTATTTGTTTCTACAAACTGCAATTGAAGTTAACCTGCAAAAATAATTCTCAAGCATTTTGCACGCAAAACCAGCTCCCTTATGATATAATTGTGTGTTTGTTGGTTATTTTATTAAACTTAATTTAATCGAGCCTATGGCAGCTCATATATTGAATAATTGGATGTGATCATTAAACGATGTGTCTTTGTTCCTCCCCCCTTACTCGAGACTGGCCGTCTTTCTCTGATAGCAACAAGTTGCCGGTTGCTTAGATAACCGTGCAATGAATTGAATTCAGTGTCGATGATGTAGCACTCCACTCTCGAGGATCACGCAAGAGATACAATTATGTGTCTTTTTAGATTCTATGCCCACTTGCTTATCAAGATGGGATCTTGGAGTAACCGTCCCAATTACGAGGGATTAAGAAGTACGATGCAATAAGAAGTTATCTTCATTTTAAAACTGACTACAAAAATCGTGAAATTTTCCCACTGTACGGATATTTATAGTTAGTCCGATACTAAAGATCGGACAGACAGAATACCATGTAATGAAGTGTTAGTAATAAGGTTTACCAGCACACGCGTTATTATAAAATGGCAACCAACGTGTTTACCAGCAAAGGCTCGATAAAAAGCGATATTCAACGATAAAAATAAGCCATTACAGAGCTTGGCCAAAAAGTCAACCCGCATCTCGTAGTAGCAAAGACGAGCACAAAGGAATTTATGAGCGTGTTTGAATCCCAATATCGTGGCCAAAATGGAGCAGCATGTAATTTGCGTGGCATGCCAAGCAATTATGCATTGTTTGATTGATAAAAATTTAGGGCGTTCTTACATCACAGAAGAGAAATAGAAAAATCACAGATTACACTCTTCCGCTACAATACGATAATTCTTGATAAACTATTACTTGCATATCCGTTATTTGCATATAGTATTGTGTCTTACTTCATCTTTAAAGATGTTTCTTTGCGTTTCTAGTCTTGTTCTTTTTACGTACGCGATTCCTAATTGTTTTGGAATTGCATTGACTTCTTCTGTCGATGATGCCGCTTGGCGTCCTTTGGAATAAACGAGGGGACAGCATCCTCTCTACCTTCTGAATTTTGGGTGCTATGATAACTTGAAGTTTGGATGTTGTTCCTGGTCCAGTCCGCTCTGTTGTAGGTACTGGTCCAATTGTATCGAAAGCAATTGTATCGCAGCAGGGAACGATGTCCAGATCCAAGAACCTCCTTCTTGTATTTTTCAACTGTTCTCTTGTCAATCCCTTCACACATGTAGATTAAGTGACCAGTGGTACTTGATTTGCCAGAATCTACAAGACCAATAACAACGACGTTAACATGAGTTTTTTCTTTAGCCATGACTGATTGATAAGTATTGATATCCTCAAGCAGTATCAAAATAAAGAACAAACGGCCAATTCCATCTTTTAAAGTTCGAGCATTTAAGAATAACAGTATTTGAATACTGTTGTATGCTCACGACATTCCTGCGGTCTATGGCCTAAATAGGCGATGGCCTAGATTTTCAATTGTTCACTGACAAGTACAACAATTACGCTAAGGGATTATGAGATAAGGGAATTAATATTATTTAAGGACTATTTGAGCTATATATAAGGGATTGTGTATTCCCCTGATTTATATTAAATTATGTAGTTTTAGAATTAAGTTAATATGTGAGAATTTAAGGTTAAGAAAATCTACCTCTCTAATTAAGCATTAGCTAGGGTTGGTCATCAGTGTTAAGTGAAGCATATTGTCACCTCAAGACCCTTGAGTCGTATGAGGCTTGCTTCTAATAAGTGCATGGGCAGTTCTTCTGTCTTAACGAGACAGGAGACTGTCAGTCGCAGAAATGCTGTTGTTTCCATTGGAGACAGATGAGGTTACTATTCGACATTACACAAGCCTAAAAATTTTGCAGTCATAATTCCCAGTAGAATTATTTGTGTTCCAAATATAGAAATTACGATCGAAATTACGGTCCGATAAATTTATTTTTTATCACATGACACAAAATTATTATTTATATACCGGATTAATTCTGCTTACTTTTGTTCTGACCAATAAGCTTCGAGTAAAATGTCAGCAATGGCTTCAAAACCAAGATATGTTCTCTATGACACAAAATGTCTCACTCCAATTTTTAGCAACCAAACTTTATTTAAGGTTTGTTTGTATTGTTGTGTAAATAAGGATTTCCACAGTTTTTTAGTGGTTACTTGGGGTTTTTAGACCATCCATCTATAAGGCATTAAATTCATTCGTTAGTCTTTGACTCTTTGTAGCACATTCCGATTTTGTTTAAAGTTCCATAAAGAATAAAGCTTAATTTTGTGGAGTATTTTGTATGTAGTGTATTTTGTAGAACTCTTGATAAATTTTGGTTGGTGTGGCAGCAATTTGGAAGGCAAGGCGTAGAGGAGGGGAGTGTATCTAGACCTGCAAATCGTATTAATCATCACTTAACTATGACGTTTATCTATAACTACGAAAGAGAAAAAAAAAGAGGGTATAAATTATTATTACTTTAAAAAATAAAATGTCGCTTAGAGTTTTGTAAGACATTTTTCCGTTTCAACCATTTTATTATAAACAACTTTCTTCTCCATCCATAACAATTTTAATTATTAGAATTTTTAATATTTAAAAATATAAATTTAGTTTTAAATCTCCCAAATTTTCATTTTTATATTTTTAATTTTTCAACTTTTTTTAAACTTTTACTTTAATAACTTATTAATTATTATTATTATTATTATTGTTAATATAATAATAAGAGCTATACTCCTTTTAACAATAATACCTACTAATATTGCAACCAGTTTATATTTATGATATCATTATCGTGAATATTTTTTAGTCTCATCACAAGATCCTTAAAACTCATTACCCATATAAATATATAGAAATAAATATACACAACAACAACAGCAAAAACCATGTCAGTCGTCGCTATAAAGAATATATTGGCAAAGTTAATATCACGTAAAACAGAAGAAGATGAAGAATATGAAAGAGCAAATAGACTATTGGAAAATAATGAACATCCTTACGGGTCCACATCAGATTCCGAAGGAATAGACCCTCATAATGATAGAGGTCAAGAAATAGCCATAGAAGAAGCAATAATCAATGCAGCAAATTCAATACAAGGTTCAGAAAATAAAGAAATAGAACAACCGGAAGGTTTAGCTGGATTTTTCAATAAATTTGATCCAAGAGTCATGTCCGATATAATTATTGGTTTATCCGATGGTTTAACTGTTCCTTTCGCCTTAACTGCAGGTTTATCATCTTTAGGGGATTCAAAATTAGTTATTACAGGTGGTATGGCTGAATTAGTCTCTGGTGCTATTTCCATGGGGTTAGGTGGTTATTTAGCTGCTAAATCAGAATCCGAATATTATAATTCTCAAGTTAAAAAGGAAAAGCTTGCATTCTTTAAAAAGCCAGAAATGATTAATCAAGAAGCTGCAGAAATAATGTTTGAATTAGGTGCAAGTGAACCAACAATCATATCATTCTTGAAAGATTTGGATTCTCATCCAAAGAATCTTATTGATTTTGTCATTAGATTCGGAAAAGGGTTAGAAGAGCCAGCTGAAGGTAGAGAATTTACTTCAGCAATGACTATTGGTTCAGCATATTTCTTGGGGGGATTTGTTCCATTGGTACCTTATTTTTTCACATCATATGTTCAAACTGGATTATTAATCTCAGTGATTGTCATGTTGATTACATTATTTATATTTGGTTACCTAAAAACATCCATTGCATTAGGTGACGATTGTGGAACACACAAGAAATTTTTTGAAGGTCTACAAATGGTGGCAATTGGTTCAATTGCTGCTGGGTCCGCGTGGTCTTTGGTTTATTTAATTGATCATTAAGATTCAAGGAAATTACCACACACATCCCCATGTATAAGAAACTAAGAAGGAAAGAAAGATTGATACATTAAGTTATATACAAATGTCAAAGTTTAATTTTTTTTTAAAAACAATTGGGCCAGCCCCCGTATCCATTGTAGAACTCCTGGCATTTATCTCGAAATTGTTTCAAGCAGGCAAGAGGACTTTGTAGATTTACTAAACCTGTTGCAGATGCATCTTTTTGTAAATTCGAAATTACTAGCTTCAAGGCTAGAGCTTAACTCTTTCATTTTGATCTAGATAGAAATCAATGTATGCACGAATCAAGACCTTTTGTAAAGCATCCACTATCCCTGTTCCTTTTGCTGTCAATTTACCGAGAAAAAATGGTTGCAAATTTTCTTGGAATTAAAACCAAGAAAGAAATCTTACCTCTTCTGTACTCAATGAATTCTTGAATTGTTGGAGACTCTTGTATTATCACACTTGAGTCTTTGACCAAAGCAACTACTCTCAGACTCTCAAGCATCGCAATCCAGGTTGTGACAGAAGTCAATTATCTTGAATTTGAAACACCTCAACTATTGAGCAGTCCACGACTTCAGAGATACCCAAGTATAAGTACAGTATTAAAGCGTAAAAATCTTGGAATAATTAAAGCTTACACATCAAATGACCATTAAATATAGATGTTCTTGGATTATCATATCTGTTGTCATTTAGTTGAGTGCGATATCGTTAGATTATTATGTTCCTGTCCACCCTATTATTTGAATTTTCGTCTGAATACCTCTACAACCAATAACAGAACCGAAAGACTCGTCGCCTCATGAGTTTGGTATTCCTTTCCAAACCTTCATGATTCCATTTCCAGACCGCATGATTGGATTTGGAATTTAATATCAACTTAGAAGGGATCGTTAAACCGGCAAATATATTGTAGTTGTTCAAGAGGAGAGGATACTCTTTAATCCCAAGCCAGATTGGCTCATAACCTCTTGGAAGGGATTAGGGCCCGCGAGAGTTTTGGGTTCTGAGAAGACGTCCTTAAGATCTTATACAACCAGGTGCTTTATGGACCCAAGGTTCGAGAATAATATCGGGTAACCGTGACAGGGTCTTTTGAACCTGTTCTACACGGCATGTACAATTAAACTTGCTAACTCATGTATTGCCCATATGGATTATTTGGCTGCAAAAGTCAAAAAAAAAAAAAAAAAGCATCCGAGAAATAAAAATCCAAATCTAATTTTAAGTGTAAAGTTGTATTATAATATGTAATTTTCTTAATACGTTTGAAGTTATGATATATATAACATCTATTTATATGTTATCAATCAATATACATTGTAGCTTTGTATGGTTATATACGGAGGTAATTCATACTAATACAACCGGCAAATTCTTAAGAAATCTAATGTGGAAAAAACCATACAGAAATTCTCCTCCATTCAGTAACCATGACAATGATCAAACAGAGTACTTTTAATGGTTTAAGTATACCCTTACCAAATGGTAACGAATTTGTAGTATTTAACCAGAATATCTTTCATTTAAGCACAGTGGTTTATAATTTTTGAAAAGTTGAGTACATGATCGTGTACCAATGCCCAATTTTATCCCATAGAAATTTTCTTTCCCTAAAGAGTTACCAGTGGCAATTGAAATTTTTTTGCTCTGGCTACCCAACCAACCATCGAATAGAAATATATTTGATTGATTTATTCACACAACCAAGTAAATAATAGCAACGCAAATATGTCACAAAGAATTGCAGATATTATTTCTAAGATTGCCGTTCCAGCCGGTGTAGCTATCATGTTAGCTCAATCAGCAATGTATGATGTTCCAGGTGGTAAACGAGCAGTTATATTTGATAGATTACAAGGGGTTCAACAAACTGTTGTTGGAGAAGGTACTCATTTTTTAATTCCATGGTTACAAAAAGCAATTGTATTTGATGTTAGAACTAAACCAAAAACAATTGCCACTACTACTGGTTCAAAAGATTTACAAACTGTTTCATTAACTTTAAGAGTATTAACGAGACCTGAAGTACGTCAATTACCTAAGATTTATCAAAGTTTAGGTTTAGATTATGATGAAAGAGTCTTACCTGCTATTGGTAATGAAATCTTGAAATCTATTGTTGCACAATTCGATGCTGCTGAATTAATTACTCAAAGAGAAGTTGTAAGTGCAAGAATCAGACAAGAATTATCTAGAAGAGCTAATGAATTTAATATTCAATTGGAAGATGTTTCAATTACTCATATGACTTTTGGTAGGGAATTCACCAAAGCTGTTGAACAAAAACAAATTGCTCAACAAGATGCTGAAAGATCGAAATATTTGGTTGAAAAGGCTGAGCAAGAAAGAAAAGCAGCAGTTATTAGAGCTGAAGGTGAAGCTGAAGCTGCTGATGTTGTTTCCAAGGCATTGGCTAAAGCCGGTGATGGTTTATTGATGATTAGAAGATTAGAAGCTTCTAAAGAAATTGCTCAGACTTTAGCACATTCTCCAAATATCACTTATTTACCAAATGGTAAAGGTGGTGAAGGAGATGAAGGATCCAAAAATTCATTATTATTAAACATCGGTCGTTAACCCATATCAAAAAGTAATTTGTAAATAGTTCTATTATATACAGAAGTAATATATAAGAGAATGTGTAACTTGTCTATTAAATATCCAAAACCACTAATTCATCATTAATACCAGGGGTAGTACAACCTCCACTAGAAATTAAAGATTCAATATCAGCAATTTCCTTAACACATCCACTAGTTAAATTAATAATCTCATCATTACTCTTCCCCACCACAATATCATCTTCCACTCTAACCCCAATTCCTTGGAAATGTTTGGGCCATTTGTCATCTTCAGGAATATATACTCCTGGTTCAATCGTAATCACATTCCCATCCTCTAATTTCCTAAATCTGGAGATTGTGGGGATATCATGTAAATCCAATCCTAAATGATGTCCAATATAATGAGGATAAAGATATCGAGAAACTTCACCCAATGTAACATCAAACCCCGGTAAATTGTTCAATTCCTGTTTGAGCAGTTTTAAACTAGTTTCATGAATATCATGCATTGAATATCCTAATGATTCATCACATAATTCAATACATTTCTTATTGGTATTCAATACTGCTTCATATATATCTCTTTGTGCGTCTGAGAATCCTTTTGGAGAATTTGGCCAAGTACGGGAGATATCTGCACAATATCCACCTAATTTCCCACCAGCATCTACAAATACCATTTCATCCTGATATAACAAGTCGTCATTTCTGGTATAGTGGATCGTTAAGGCATTACGACCACTGGCTACAACGGGGATATATGCCTGTTTATCACATCCTCCTTTAACAAATTGATAGTCGAGATATTTGGCTAATGTCTTTTCAGTTAAGATTGGGTTTTCGGAACCTACTTTTCCCATTGCTTTGTTGATTGCACGAGCGGATATTTGTCCGGCGAAATGCATAACTTTGATCTCAGCTGGTGATTTCACACATCTAAGTTCAGCAATTAGGTCAGATAATGGAGATAATGGTTTTCTACTTTTTCTAATTATATCATTCACGGAATTTGAATTTCCCAAAATATGGAAAAACGACTTTATTGTATCTTGTTCCTTTGGAGATCCAAATTTTTGATCCCAATAAATAGATTCACAACCCATAATCAATTTCTTAATATATATAGGTGCCCTAGCTATATCTTCCACCATATCAGCATTAAAAACATCATAAGCACCTTCTAATCCCAGTTTTGCACCTTCCCATAATTCCTTAAGTTCATTCTTGGGTGGGACTAACATATGAAACACAACATCATTTTCATCCCCATTATCACTCTTCTTCTCAATAATGGCAATGGTATCAGGTTCATTCCATCCAGTGAGATAATATAAATCATTATCTTGTTGGAAATCATAAAACACCGATCCGGAACTATATTGGACGCTATTTCCGATTAGGATGGCCAATGATTTCGCTGGGAGTTTTTTCAGAAGTTCAAGACGTCGATTGAAATATTCTAAAGCGGATATACCTGGGGTTAACATGCCTGGATGTGGGAGATAGTGAGGTCTTGTTTCGTGGGTTGGTTGGCCGGTGGAGGCATGGTGGGTTTTTGGTCTGGTTGAGAGTTTTAGAAATCTTCGTGAGATGCGAAGAATTGGTCTAGTAGAGGTCAATGTCATGTGGAATTGACTGTTGTTAGATGCAATGGTTGTTAAGAAGGGTGGTTTTAAGGTTCTTTCTGGAAAGAGAAGAAACTTTGATGAGATGGAATTTTCATTTGCCGTGGATAAAAGTGTCTGATAGAGCAAAGCAGACAGACAGACAGAAAAACGTTGTGTCGGATGAAGTGAAAAAAAATAAATCTTGTAGTGAATCTTCAATTATGGAGCATGCGTTCTGAAAGACCAATTGAGCAAATGCCCAAGATTGTCTACGATGAACACAAAGGGTTTTGCATTATAGGAGAAGAGGTGGCCGACATAGAATGTGACATCGCTGACGATGATGAGGAAACCCAGACAAGACAAATAACAAACGGGCTAGACCAATTATCTTGGGATTCAGTCATTCCACATATCGAGGATGAGGACCAACAAGATCAAGAACAAGATTCAATCACAACCAAACCCAATGCCAAAAAGTTAAAGAAACTGGAAAAGAAAGAACTTCGACAACTCAAAAAAGTAAATGCTGCCCGGAAGAGACAACTCCGTCGACAACAAGAATTATCCACTACATCATCCAATCGCAATTCTGACTTCAATCCTTATTTAACCAAGGCCAAAATCAAAACCCTTCATTCCAAACTCACAAACCCACCAGATAGTAAACCCACAACTAAGAAACGACGGAATGAACCCGATTTTAAGATCTTTCAATATAATTCAATCGCATTATATGCATCTGATTTAGATCATATCCTACCAGGAGAATGGTTGAATGATAATAATATCTCCCTAATCTATGAACTCATCCTGCAATTATTCCTAAAACCCAATGGTTATGGTAATAAACAATTCGGATATCAGATTCAATTACTATATCCTTCTTTGGTTCAATTATTCCTTCATTTCCCGCTTTCGGACCAGATTGAGAGTGTGTTGCCGGTGGATGAATTACGGGGGCTGAAATTTATATTTATTCCGATAAATCTTATGGATGATATCGGGTCGATTGATTTCGAATTGGATAATAATGGTGATCATTGGGCACTTGTGTTGTTTTCGGTGATTGAGAATCGGATCTATGTGTATGATTCTATGAAGGTTGAGGATGATTGTGAGGTGTTGAAGAATGAACAACAACAATTGGGGGAATTGTGTAAACGACTTCAGAGCTGTAAGAGTATTGTTAAGAATAATAAACCGATAGAGATTGTGAATATGAAATGTGATCAACAGCCGAATTGTGATGATTGTGGGGTTTATGTGATTATGTTTACTTGTTATTTAGTAAATCAATTATTGTATAAGCAAGGCGGTGCCATTGATTTGGATATTGGAGATGTTAGGTTTAATTCACTTGACGCGAGGCTATTCATATTGGATTTAATTTATAGACTATATAAATCTAATTAATTAATTGAAGAACTTTTCAACCAAGATGTTTTTCATTATACTTGCCATTGCGTTTCCCTTTAAATCATGATTCAATTCTTCTATTTTATCTTGTAATTCTAATGTAGGTAATTCTTGATCTGGTTCCGAATGGATAAATACTCCTTGTGATGCAATATAGGTTATCCCACTCTTATTTAATCCCAAGGCGGATATACAACAAATCAAATTATTAGTTATTTGTGCCACAATCTCCCCATCTGATGAATCATATCCTAATAGACTACAAACTCTGGTGATTGGGATTTCTTTAGTAGACGATATTATAACCATAAAATTCTTAAAATCAATAATTGATTTCATATATTCAATAAATGAGAAACTACTAAATCTTGACACCGATACTGGAAGGTTATATTCTAAATAAGCAACAAGGGTTTCAATAAGTGATTGGTTTTTATTTAATTCAAAGTATACTTTTTCGGTTTCTCGGTTTGATAATGGGATTAATACTTGGTTATATATTTTATATTCAAGACTGTCTTCATTTTCATTAAATAAATCAATTATTAAATCTGCATCTGGACAAATATCAATTAGGGATAATGTATAGAACGGCTTCAAGAATATCGAAACAATTGCAAACATAGTCAATATATTTGATTTCAAGATTGAAGTATCAGTAATTAAATATTTCAACGGGGTTAATCCAGAACTTGTGTGGAGATGATGATGGTGATGATAATTTATGAACAATGAAGTGAATTCTTGATAAAATTCCATAAATTTGAATTGTTTGAATAACATACATAGATTCAAGAATCTAATTATCCAATAATAATGTAATTCATCCATATTTGAATGAGGATCTTCTTCTAATCTCGAAAATATGGTTTCATTCTTAGTGTAATAAATAGATACTTTTTTGAATATTGTATCAATTGGTTTGAATGAATTACTGGATAATAATAATTTATTATCACCAGCAGCTCCTGCATCTTTGAGATATACTCCACTTGAAGAAGTACTAAACTTATTATCATCCAATGGGAACCAAATCAAATGGAATACATTAACCACATATTGTAAAAACAAAAACTCAACATAACGATTATTAGTCAATGCTTCACAAGTTGAAGGTTGTGTTGAGAATTGAACAACAGTAGCATAATTATTCAACAATTGAATAGCATCTTGATATTGCGTTTGAATTAATGATACGATAACTGCTTGTCTTGTTATCTTAAAGAAATCAATACAATTGGCAGGATCTAATCCTTCGGTTTCTTCAACTACTAATTGTTGACATTTCTTTTGGGCTTGAGATTGGATTGATTGGGAATTCGATTCTAATTTGGTGATCCATTGAGAATCGTAATTGTGGGGTATATGTTGTGAATTTAGATAATCGATTAGATACGTATGAAAGGGATGAAGTGCTTGATATTTATCCATTAATGAAAGACATTTTAAGGATAGATTTGTGAATTGGATGTGATGGCGAGTATGAGTATCCTGATTGGTTGGTTGTAGTTTGGATAAAGTATATGCCAATTGATTAATAGCAAGAAATTGAATATCAAACTCTCCATCTGTTGATTGACTCATTGACTCTGATCCTTGATTACTGTCTGGTTGAAAGGGAAAGAATTGAAAACTTAAAATTTAACATTTTTTGTTTTTGATTCCTCTTGGTATGATCCTCAGAATTTTACAAAATGAAATCAGAATGGTACGGAGAGGGAGACGCACACCAGAAATTATTACATTATATTAAATATATACCGTGTATAAACGTATAGATATGTAAGCTACTAGCGTAGCTTACGAAGCCTAGCCACTGTTATAGTATAATTCTACTAGTCAGATAACTCAGGGCAATATCATACAAGATACCAATAATAGCCCAAGTCAATGGAATCCAAGTACTCATAGTTAAAGAACCAGCTTCATAAATAGCAGATATAATTAAACCAATAATAGCACCACTACAAAACCCTTTAAATAAACCAACAATTATATAAAATCCTAATATAAATAAACAAGTAAATAATTCTATTGGACCAATTGGTAATTTATGTCTAAATTTATTTAAGATATTACTTATAGCAGCAATTGTACCAACAATTATATATAAAGCACCAAATAAGATTAATGACCAAAAAACAGTAAACTTCCAAATATCCCAAGAATAATAAAGAAATGAATTTTGATAAGCTTGTTGACTTGGTCCTAATGGCCAAAATAATGATGGGAATTCTGGTGTTGAATATCCAATTGGTACATTTAATGAACTTATAAAGAGTCTCATAGTTTTGTTACTTTACTTCATAGTTACTTCTTCTGTATCTATATCGTACTATCAACTTATGATTATTACGTCGACTTGTGTAAGTGTCAATCAATCAATCTATAGGATCAATCCAACTAAAAGTGATTTACAGTGAGATTCCAATTGTACAGTGGGAACAAAAAAAAAATAATTTCAATTCACTTTGCCACTGAGAACACTGAAAAATCTCATTCTGTCTTTCCATCAATTAAATTCCAACAGTCACTTCTATTACAATCAATTGCATAGAAGAAACCTTTATTCAAACGTAGACATACACTCGCATATATATAGTTATCGCATTGCACATATCCATATAAAAACTAACAAGCAACAGACATGTCCAGAAGATACGATTCTAGAACAACTATCTTTTCACCAGAAGGTAGATTATATCAAGTTGAATATGCTCAAGAAGCTATATCTATGGCAGGTACCGCAATTGGTATATTGTCAACTGAAGGAGTAGTATTAGCATGTGAAAAGAAAGTTACATCTAAATTATTAGATAATGATGGAAGTGCTGAGAAATTATATGTTATTAATGATAATATGATTTGTGCTGTTGCTGGTATGACTGCTGATGCAAGTATATTAGTTAATAATGCCAGGATTAATGCTCAACAATATTTAAAAACCTATAATGAACAAATCCCATGTGAGATCTTAATTAAACGAGTATGTGATATTAAACAAGGTTATACTCAACATGGTGGTTTAAGACCATTTGGTGTTAGTTTCTTATATGCTGGTTATGATGATAGATATCAATTTCAATTATTTACTAGTAATCCAAGTGGTAATTATAGTGGTTGGAAAGCTACTAGTATTGGAGCTAACAATTCAGCTGCACAAACTTTATTAAAGAAAGATTATAAAGATGAATTAACTTTAAAAGAAGCTTGTGAATTAGCTATAAAAGTATTAAGTAAAACAATGGATGCTTCAAATCTTAATAATGAAAAATTGGAATTTGCTACTTTAAGTTTATCAAAACAACAACCAGATAAAGTAATTCATAAGATTTGGTCTGCTAATGATATTGATGCTTTAATTAAAGAATCTGGTGTATTAAATGATAAACCATCTGAAGATGATTAGACCCCTTGTAGTACTACAAAAGTATATAATATAATTACATAATAAAATGAATACAAATCTATAAAACATGTCAATTCTCAAGTAGAGGTTTCGATTACTTCTCTTTAAGACTTTCAGTTTCAATTGCAGCGAGTCAGTCCAACCATAGCAATTGTACTGTGGTGGCAATTTTACAACCAATCTACAAAGTCTTAAAATCTCATTCTTCTTTTTCTGTTGCCATTTTCTACTGTTGCTTTATTTACATTTCCTTTTGAATCTTAAGTTTTCCTTTACAACAGCTAACTGATTACTTAAGGAGGTTAATTTAAAGATGGACTTCTTTTCTTTAGGACTTTCACCTACTTCACGTAAGTCAACTAAAATATTACGAGAAATTAATAATAACAATCGAATCTCATTACAAATTAAACAGAAATTTGAACAACTTAATTTAACAACCAAATCATTCTTAACCAATGAATTAACAGTTTATACCCAACAATTACAATTACAACAACAAGTAGAACAAGCAGATGATCAATTGATTCAATTCCAAAACTTACAAGATGCGTTTAGTGAATTGTATTTCTTATTAGATGTTGAAAACTTCACATTTAAAAATGTTGTAAATCTTCAATTATCTCAACTAGAACAAATCTATAATAAGATTCAACCATTATCAAATATTGGACAAGTTCATACTGACTTACATTCTATGTATGAAACAACTATTGAATTGATTAATTGTTATATGTCATTACTTTTAATGTTAAACTTATCCAATTCATTAATTTATAAAACATTAATATTAAAGAATCAACAAATATATTGGGAAACTATTCATAATTCAAAACGTAATAAATTAATTTATTTCATTCAAATATTTCCTATTAAGTTATTTGGTTTCGTTAAAGATCTCCTAAGCAAAGCTGGTGATTTATTACAGAATAAAGAATTCAATGATAATGCATATAGAACAACTGATACCGCTGGTACTGAAGAAGATAATGCCGTATATGGATATTGGTCCCTTTTTAAATACTATTCAGGAGCATTGTTTAATGCATTTAAGAATACAATGACAAGTATTTTAATTCATGAAAAACCGGGAATGACTTTTCTTGCTATAACTAATAAAGCATCTTCATTGAATTGGTATAAGAATTCAATTAGATATCTCGTAACTGCGCCAAATTCAATTGTTCATAAAGATATAAAAGAAAAATTAAATTTGATTAATATTGAAATTGATAAGAATATTGGCATGATTGATAGGTTAATAAAGACAAATATAAATGATAAATTTGAAACTTTGAATTCTTTAGAGTCGATTCTTCAATTACAACAACAACAACAAGAACCAGAAACTTACCGAATTTCACAAATGATCTCAACAATAACCCAATTTGATAAATTGTCATACTCCGAAACTGATAAACCATCATTCATAACTCGTTACTGGCCAATCCTTGCACTTCTTATAAGATACGGTCCATCGCAATCAGTCAATATCTATAACAATTCCGAAGAAATCATTTCCTGGATAAGATACAATGGAATAGAACCAATTATCGGCTTTGTCAAAAACTGGTTAATCCGTCCAATTAATGAAATGTTAAACATTTTACGTCGTGATGAAGAAATATCAATCACATCTAAAGATTCACTTAAGTCAGATATATCGTCTTTAGAATCTATGATGATTGAATTCGCCAATGATAATAATATAACTGACATTACTCCAGAAATTATTAAACAAGATGTTTCAAATGGAGATATGAAATTGATTATGTCAAGATATGAGAATGAAATCCGTTCACCGGTGAAATATATCCTACTGGGTTCATTACTTCGATTAATCCTAATCCAAGTCCAGAAAGGAAAAGTAGATGGTGGTGTTGCCATAAATGGAATAGATAAATTATTGAAATCTCAACAATTGGTATTTGGAATTGTTTCAATGAGTCCATCATTATTTATCACTTATCAAATCTATCAATATCTCACATCGGCAAGACCAATTGTTGTGAATGGAAAACAATTGAATATAGTTTGTTTGAAATCATTAAATAATATAGAGAATTTACTAGTAATGATAAATAACGGAAAAGATCATGACAAGAATGATTATGAAGGTAGGTTATTGATTGAGATTATTAATTTGATTGTGAGTTCTGATTTAATCATTCCGAGAGTCTTACATGATGATTGGATTAGAGATTTGAATGAATTGAATAATAGTCTGTTTGATATTGAAACCAAATTGAATTTAATCCGTAAGATTTGGAATATGTATGGTCATTATTTTAGATAAAAATATATATAACGTATGCTTGTTTATAATTTATATTAATATACCTGATAAAATAAACCTAAAATAAATAAACCTAAAATGAATGTAAGAAATAAAAGAAAAGTCGTTAGCAAAAAGGCAAGTCATGAGCTAATTATGTAATCATCAAATCGTAGTCAACCTCCTTCAACACCCCAATAACAGATTCTTAGGGAAAGTATATCCCCCTTCTTCAAATAACGTTAAATTAATATTTGAATAAATATTCAAATGTTGCTGAATATACTCTTGTGTAGGATATCCTGGTGGATCACACCCCACATTAATCTGATCCTCAGGTTGATATACCCTCACATAATCAACATACATCGTAACTGGGAAACTTAAACTTGGCCAATCTATATATGCCCAATTATTTGACATTCCCAAATTCATAACTATCGACATTGGTTCTTTTGAAATTTGTCTGAAATCGATATTTCCATTGGGATGTAATGCTTGGGCATGAACTGTCATTGTGGGTTGATCACCCACAAACCATCGGATATATCCAATCGTATCATCATTAATATATTCAAATGCATATTCTTGGAAATTTGAAGTTCCATTCGCTCCTCGTTCATACCAAGTAAGATTCAACATCGTAGTTGCAGAAAGAGCCTGTTGGAAAGGACCACCAGCGTATGTATTCATCGTGGTTACACTTGCATTATAAATCTCAATGAAACTATAATCGGGCATATACCAAATATCAAACGGGGCCAATTGGACAGATTGGGAAGCAACCCCAGTTTCCCCACTAGGAGACCACCCCGTCGCTGCCTCAATTAAATCAATCTCCGGTGCACCTCTACCCACGCCCGGATTCGGATGTGATTCACCGGGACAAGTGCACGAATTCAACCTTTGTCCAGGTAGGTATGAGATCCCATCCAGTGAAGATTGGTTGGCGGTAATACCGGCATCACAAGAATTATACGAATATGGCCAAACCCCATCCGTAGTAGCTGAATACCCTGGTCTGCCAAGATTTCCCATCGTCCACATCCCAGGCCATAATCCACTCACATTTCCATAATAGGGTAATTGTGCCGACATGATGATTTTCCCCTGGGTAAAGCAGAATTTATTCCAACTTTGTAACATCCCACTTCGATAAAATAAATCATGATTTTGAAAAGCATCCATTCTAAGACTAATGGAGGAATTGATGGTGGTGACGGCATCGGGATCATACCATTCCAAATCGTTAGTTACATGATATTGAAAATCAGGAGCTGTCCAGAATTGATCATCACCTTCATAAAAAGTTCTTCCTATGGCATTGAATTCATCACTGAATACTAAGACCCAATTAGTGCCATCTCTTGCAGTTATATTCATCGCTTCCTGCGGTGTATCTGGGTCGACCAATGATGTTCGAATCGCACTCAACATAGGATATTCATAATGGGTTAAGATAGGATATGTAGGATACCATGGAATATATTTATGAGTTGGCGTAAATGTTAGAATTGGTAGCGCTATAAATACTGCACCAGCAGCAATTATTAAAAATAAAAAACTGAATAAGCCCAGTAATGCTCTTTTATCGGCTCTCTTTAGATCATACCAAAATCTGTTCTTATCGTAGATTATATCTTTGACGGGATCGGGATTATGCACATCATCGTCAGGTTCTTTTTCATCTATATGCAATGGGAACGAGGAGGCGGGATATCCTCCAAATGGATTAAAATCTATACTTTTGGACATGGTTGAGTTTGACGAATTGGAAGAACCTAATGCATTACGATCGAGAGGTGGGGCTCTGGAGGTTTTGAACCCGTTTATGCTTGGATATCTGTCATAATCGGTCGCCAGGGACACATTCATATCTTTGACTCTTTGAACAGTAGCATTGGATATTATTGCCGTTGAACCATCGCCTGAAGAAGTTGCGCTATTGGTGGTACTGGTGCTACCACTTCCTTCGACTGGTAATAGGGGTAGTGAAGTCGCATAGTTGGTATTGGTGGCAGTGAACGCTCTACCAAACAGTCCTGATGATGTTGTTGTGGTTGAAGGCAGGTTGTCAGCATTAAATACAAATGAAATTTGTTCGTCAATTGACAGAAATGAGATGTTGTAGTCCGTTTCACCTTCCCAGCTGTTGGAAGTTAGATCTCGATCTGGCATATTGTTTAAGTTTTATGTTATATGTTAGTGAAAGGTGAGTTTAATTGACTTTCTTTAACGAGTGATAATTGTTTTGTATGTTTCTAGAAACGATGGTAATTATTGTTCGTAGTTGCTATTGTTCTATGCAAGTTGACGTTAGATGAGTTGCAAAATTATTATTTTTTTGTTGGTTTTGTGGAGGGGAACACTGATGATGAGCGAAAGATGAGATAAGGAGATGGGAAGAAGGTTACCAATTAAAGTTTTAATAACAAACTTATAGTGATTCTTTGATGAAGCTACTGGTAAAGTTGCCAATTGTATAAAAGAAACAGAAACTGAAAAATCTAAACTTTAGTTTTAGTATTTGACAAGAGTCATTGATTATATTCATCATTTAATCAAAAATTTAATTATTTAAAAAAAAACCGCAACGAATAAAACGTAATTCTAATTTATTTTTTTATATAAATTATTAACAAGCCCAAGTTTAGCCCCCTGAATTTTGAAACCATTAGAAACGATTTTCCTTCAATGATGACTGGTCTTTGTTTCATCTCAATCGCATGACCTTCCTATTACTACTGTGTAAAAATATTAACAAATTTCATGACATATCCAGTGTACCCGTGCGCATAGTCCATGGACATACTGGTACCTAGTGTATCATTGCACTGTGGTTTAATTCATAGAAATACGAAAGGGTTGCCTTGCTGTTGGACAGATTCTAGAATTTCTATCTTTAAACGGTTTCCAACAATCTTGTCGTACTGGAAGTTCTCGAATTGCATTTCTCATGGTCCCCAGACGATTTGTATATTCTGGAAGGTAAATCGTCTGACCCGGTAATGAGCACCTCTTGTATGTGCAGTCCAAATGTTTATCTTTACTTAAAAGATTAGGCTAAGTTGGAATAAATTCTTTTTATTGCAATCTTAAACTAAGTTGCTTCAAACGGCTGCAAAATTGATTAAACAATAAATTTATGCAAGGGAACAAAATGCTAAAAACTTTAATTACAAGTCCGAAAAGGTCCCTTGAATAGTTAGAATTTCTTATAAAAGAATATTCGTGGATTGTAAGTAAGTGACAGGGATCTCACAATTCATACAAGCATTGCATCCGAGAGATATAATAACTTTATTGACTCTCTAGTTGAAGTATTTTTTTCCTACTGTAAAGATTCGCCCAAAAGGGTATTTTCTTCCCCCATTTAGATCAATTAATAATATACGGCCTCTACTATTTGACAGGTCCGAGTATTACACTAATTCAATAGAAATAACAAGGCCCATGTACACAACAAATCCAGTTCCGTTGGACGTTATTTCATTGCTTCGTTAGTATAAGGTATGTCAACTTCTTATCAAGAATGATTTTTCAGTATTCGTTTAAATTTCGTAAAAAAAATGGTTGCAAAAATTAGAAACACAAAATGTTAAGAAATAGTTGTCTCTTCTCTGAAATCATTCTATTTCTCTAAAAATAAATTAATAAATATAGCTAATATAAATACACCCCCTAGGGTTAGGTCTGGAGGGGAAACTTATAGAACGTTAAGTGGTGCTTGAAAGAATTATCGTCCAATCACGGGAGAAGTCGCGACTCTCCGAGTGGTAAATCTATTGTCCAATTTGAAACACGAAGTTATCAAGTTAGAACCAGAACTACAACTCTTGTATCTTAAGTATTTCTACATATATTATGCATACACTCAAACGATTTATCCCCTTTGTTAAGAAGTAGGCCATACATAATAAGAAGCTAACTGTATTCCATTCGAAGTTACTTATTAGAAATCATGCAAAACAAATAAATCAATCACACAAGTGCTGAGCAAACTTTTGTTTAATCGCGAATACAAACCTCTTATTTACACTTAAAATTGATCCACACATAAACTTAAACAAGGCTGGTCAATCTAAGTAAAATGACTTGTTAAAAGACTTGGCCACTTTTGTGTTCGGATAAACTGTTAAGCCACGACGCAAATGATTTTTCTAAGAGATCGCCAAGCCATAACTGACATTGTTTCCAAGAAATTGCATATAAATTAGATGCATGATCTGGTGGCAAAACCCCTTTCATTTTCCACTCCCCCTCCAGAGATCAGATCATCTACACTCATCCCATTCAAAAAATAAATCGTAATTTATTAAAAAACTTCTATATGTACTAATCCAGAATACAAACAAATATAACGAATTGAAAATCAAACAATAAATCATAAAAATAAATACAAAAACACCAAAGCCTCTATCTGATCTGCCATTTTTTAACAGCCAACTAACTTATTCTTTGGAAATGCATAACCTCCATCTTTAAAAGAAGTTAAATTAACATTGGAATAAATATTCAAATGTTGTTGAATATAATTAAAAGTAGGAAAATCATCAGGATCACAACCAACATTAACTGAATTTTCCGGTTGATATACTCTAACATAATCAATTCTCATCGTGACTGGGAATTGAATCGAAGGCCAATCAATATATGCCCAATTATTTGAAAGACCAAGATTCATAATTATCGACATTGGTTCTTTTGATATTGATCTCCAGTTGATATTCCCATTTGGATGTAAAGCTTGAGCATGAACGGTCAAAGTTGGATCTTGTCCCACAAACCATCGCAAATATCCCGTATTCTGATTATTAAGATATTCAAATCCATATTCTTGGAAATTATGTTCACCGGAACCAAATTCATACCAGGTGGTGTTTAATGTGGTCGTACCTGAAAGTGCTTCTTGGAAAGGTCCACCAGCATATGTATTCATAGTTGTAACTGATGCATTATAAATCTCAATAAAGCTATAGTCTGGCATATACCAAATATCAAAGGGGGCTAATTGTAATGATTGAGAGGCAACCCCGATATTTGGAGTCTTACCTGTAGGATCAGTTCCCATAGCAGCTTCAATAACATCAATTTCAGGTGCACCTCTCCCTGTACCTGGGTTTGGGTGAGATTCACCTGGACAAGTACATGAATTCAATTTCTGACCTGGCAAATAACTAATCCCATCCGGCGACGATTGATTTGGAGTAATACCAGCATCACAAGAATCATATGAATATGGCCAAACACCTTCCGTCAGGGCCATATATCCTGGTCTTCCTAAATTACCCAATGTCCACATCCCGGGCCATAATCCCGAAACGGTTCCATAATTGGGTAATCTTGCCGACATGACGATTTTCCCTTGAGTAAAGCAGAATTTATTCCATGATTGAACCATCCCACTTCGATAATATAAATTATGGTTCAAGAACGCATCCATTCGAAGACTTAGGGTTCCATTTGCAGTGGTGACTGCATCGGGGTCATACCATTCTAAATCCTTAGTAGCATCATAATGTAAATTTGCAGCCGTCCAGAATTGATCATCACCATCATAAAAAGTTCTCCCGTCGGCATTGAATTCATCACTAAATACCAAGACCCAATTGGATCCGTCTCTGGCCTGGGTAGTCAATGCATCCTCGGGAGTGTCTGGATCGATTAATGTTTGTCGAACTGCGCTCATCATAGGATATTGGTAATCAGTCAATATTTCATAATGCTGAGGAGGACTATACACGGTCACACCTGCAAATGTTAAAACGGGTAATAAAACAAACAACAAAAGTGCAAGTATAATCAAAGCAGCAAACCCAACCATTCCTAATGCAGTTCTTTTATCAGCATTTTTCAAATCATTCCAAAATCTATGTTTATCATAAATTGCATCCTGTACGGGATCGGGATTGTGTAAATAATCGTCGGGTTCTTTTTCATCAATATGCAAGGGGAATGAAGATGCAGGATATCCTCCAAATGGACTCGAGTCACATTTGAATTGTTGTAGGGTTGATAATGAACTTGTTTCAGAAGGTTGTAGGTTATTTTTACTAACATTTGCTGAAGATTCACTAAACATAACCGGATATCTGTCATACTCTGAGGGACCTTGAATGTTCATATTACTATTGTTTGAAAATATTTTAGATTCCCTGATTTCATCGGAAGAATAGTCTTTCAGCAGTAGCAAGGGTGCTGTAGTTTCATTGGGCAGGGTTTTAAATATACGACCATATGCGTTCTCATTTGCGTTGTCTATATTGTCTGAAGATGAAGATGTTGCTGATTGTTCTTGTATCGAATCGTCGTAAACACTTGATGCGTCATTTACAAATGGGTTTTCAAAGGAAAATTCCTCTCCCTTTGGGGTGCTATTCGCTGTTAAATCTCGAGCCATGATTATTTTTTTGTCACACTGTAGATTTGTCAAATCGAGATCGTGGGATTGATGAATCTATAAATTAGTTGTTTTTGGTTGTGAATTACTAGCTGTCTTTCCTGTAAAAGATGGTTAATGTGCTAAAAATGTAGAACGTGTTGTTGTTTTTAGATGTGGTTGTAGTGGTTTTTGTGGAATTCACTATTGTTCAATTTTGTGTAGTATGTGGGGGGTTGGGCTAAGTGATGTTTTAGTAGCGAATGGAAACGGCTGAGAATATATAGTCGAACCAATTGGACACGCAATATATATAAATAACAACCTGGTTAGTAGCAATGAGTAACAGTAGTGTAGAATTAGTAAAAAGGTTAAAATAAAGAAAGGAAAGTGATAAGTGAATCTAATTTTAGAAATTTAGGCATTTGAACATTTACTTATAAATAAATTATACAATAGAAAAAACTCAAAAGCTTCTTTCAATGGTACCACCCCCTTAAGAAAAAAAAACAAAAATGTGCCGCTTTGCTTAGCTAATTATTGTATTTTTTCTATTTTTTTCTTCGTGGCATTCTATTCAGATTCATATCCTCCCCACACACGCATACACACACAGTTTCTCTTAACCACCCCCTTGAAAAATGAATGAAAAAAAATGTAACTTCGCTCCCTAGGGGTTTTGAACCAAATCACATTTTGATTGGTTCAATGACAGGGGACTAGACTCCCAACAGCAATGATTCTTTTTCTTTTGTTCATTTGTTTCGCTATGTAGAATGACGTTGAACTATGCACCGTTGACTAACATTGTAAAGTCAACAAGCACCCCTACCAATCAATGAAACAATCGTTGAAACAAAAGACATAGACATGATTGAGGTCATGTCAAATAGAAAAGTCAAAAAAGCTTATTAAATTGATTTAAATTACTTACATATTAAAGTTTTATTATATTCAGAATTAGAATTATAAATGATGTAATGTTGTAGAAGAAGGTTTAAAACAAACTTCTCCTTGAGAAACTTTCGGGGAATTGATTAGGGATCTCGAGGTGATTATTTTTTAACTTTAGACTTTTATTTTTTAAAAATGTTGCGTTTTAAATTATTTTTTAAGCGACAGCAAGTTTCTTTTTTCTATTTTTGTACTTCTCGACTCAAATCATCAATCAAATTATTTTGCAATCATTAATTTCAAGAATGAATCAATTACTGAAGTAGCTGCCAAACTGGTAATCTCTGAATTAGTATCATATGGAGGACTAACTTCAACAACATCAGCACCAACTAAATTAATCCCATTCAATCCATCCAATATACTCAACAACTCTCTACCAGTAAACCCACCTACTTCCATAGTCCCAGTCCCAGGGGCAAATGCAGGATCCAAAACATCAATATCCACAGAAATATACACTGGATCAGTCGTACCCAATTCCGTTTTCAAAGTATCAATGATCCCCCTGACACCAACCTTATCAATATCCAGGGCTTTGATTATATGAAACCCACAATCAGAATCATGTTGAGGATCATATACACTATCGACATATGGAGCTCGAATACCAACATGATAATTGCCCTTTGGTTCAATATATCCCAATTCATGAGCATAATGCAAGAATGTTCCATGATTTAAACTCATATAATCAGTAATCCCCCCACCTAAAACTTTGGGATCCCAAGTATCTATATGTGAATCAAAATGAACAATCTTGACAGGTTTTCCTAATTGTTCAGAAATCGATTTTAAAGTCATTAGAGCTATGGTATGATCTCCACCCATGGTAATTATCTTGGGGATTTTGTTTATGTTACCAATATGTTTATGCACTGCTCTTTGGCCACGATATAATTGATTCAAGGCAATTCTATTATCAAATGGAGTCATCCCCACATCTCCACAATCAACAATCGAGTAATTATGAGTACAGGAATCGTATGGATCAATAGGAACTTTCTTGTTGTTGTACTTCTTATGACGAGTTCCACCACCCAAACGTCTAGCATTACGACGGATAGCTTCGGGACCAAATCTTGCCCCTGGCCGGAATGAAACTCCAGTGTCGAAAGGTGCACCAACTATAGCAATGTCGATCTTGTATTCATCTTGATCACTTTTGAAATATTCTGGATTGAAGCAATTGAAATGAGGGAGATGGGCATAGGTTAATATTCCACCAAACATATTTTGATCCATTTGAATATCGGAAACATCATCTTTATTGGGGAAATCAATTTCTGGTCTCATTGATAAATAAGCATTCAAGGATTGTTGATGATGTGACTCGATAGAGAAAATATCAGGTTCGGATTTGATTCCTTGAGAAAGAAGTTGTCTACGACGATATAATGAAGATTCATCGTGGACTAGTTCCCCGTATAATTGATCAAGTAAGGACTGTGTGGTGGGATCTTCGTTGAAGAATATAGCCTGTACGGATGCGGCAGTGACAGCAGAAAGGATCAGCAATAATGATAATGTTCTCATGACTTGAATGATGCAAATTGATCCCGTTGCTCTGGTCTTATTTTCAGGGATGAGCTGCTTGGTTTTATACTTTTCCCAATTCCGCTCCGTTTATCTAAAAAAATAAAAATTGTTGCGCGCATATTCCATTTCAGGAAAGTAAATTCCGCACGTATACGACCTCAGAAAAGTTAGAAACACAAATCCATACAAATCGTTATTTATCATCTAAATACCTAAAATCTACTAAACGCAATCTAAACAGTTCCTATAAATTCACAAACTAAGGGGTATCTTCTTCATGACAGATCTTCACGAATACTTTATTCAAAGAATCAATAAAGTCTTTACTCAAATAAAATGTGAAAACTGTTGCAACCAATATAAATATAATAAACAACTGTATAAACATAAGCGTTGATCTGATATTATTCGTACTGTTGCTCTGATGTATACCTTGCTTTTCTAGATCTTGTGTGTTTGTATATTTCTCCAGGAGTGCTTTAGGGATTTCCTTGGGAGCCAGTATCTGGTCATTGGTTGATATTTGTGTGGGCATTGGTTTATGGAGAATTTGTCTTGAGACGTTTATATTTGGATATTGCATACACATTGTGATAATGAGATGTATAATCTACTAGCGTGCTATAATATGTATATGGTGTATGGTTGGGTATTAAATATTCAGTAGAGAATATCTTGAGTTTGGTTGAAAAAAAAGGTACAGCCTCGATTAAAAAGATAATTTAACATTGTTCAGTATTATCTGAAAGAAAAAAAAGAATCCCGCGTGTATTTCACAAACGCGATTATGTAAGCGCTATGTTTGTGGAATTAGGGATTCCCTGAACAATGGAAAGAATATTACATCAGGTTTCTATTCGGAATTTGGAAAGAAAATTGCTGCACTTAACTAGGAGCGGAATACACTCACAAAGAACTACGGAATCGGAGCAGAGGCTACTTAACGAAAATATTTCGATATGTATCTGTACATTAACTACTTTATAAAGTACAAACAGCTACAACTATCGTATGTATAAACTTTAACCAAATAATACAAACAAAAGCTGTCTTTATCCCAAAAAACCACTACAGAAACAAAACTAATCCAAAAAACTAAAGTTCTAACCATCTCTTTCTCTTAGAAGCTGCACTAAGAGTAGCTTTAGTTACTCTATCACTAGCAGGATACCAATTTGTAGGATATGGAGCAACACTAGCATAATTCACAGCTGATTCAGCAGTATAATCCCAACCAGGAGTAATAGTCGAATAAACAACTGGCGACCCAGCCTTTGTAGAATAATAAGTGACGGCAGAAGTAGGATATCTCATAGTCCAAGTTGTGGCAGTGACCAGTGGTCCTGGTTGTGTTTGCATTGGTGCATATCTTGTCCTACCTGTTTGTTCAGTATATGGGATCGAAAACGATTGAGAATTAATCCCTTGGGCAGCATTCATATTTTGAATTTGCTCAGCTGGAACATCACCAGTCACCGTAACAGCCAAAGTACCTGTTGGACCAGTCATACCTGTTAATTGAAACCTAGGCGAATAATTAATAGTACTTCCTCCATTTCCAAAAGCAGCATAGATTTGGAAATAATAATATCCATCTGGAACTAATCCTTGTTTGATACTAACGGTTGTTTTCAAACTTGGAATAGTGGTAGGTTGAACTAATGGTGGGGTTAAACATTGAATAGATCCACCTGCATCAGGCCCAGTACATAATGAAATTGTATATGATTGTACATTGGTTAATGCCAAATCTGTACCTGAGTCAGAATCATCTTTCCAAGTAATTTCAACACTGGCTGTACCTGAAGAACCATCGAATTTAGCTCCTGCTTTTGGGGCGGTGTATTCAACATCACCCATGACGTTTTGAAGAAGTGATAGTAATATCAAACCTAATATATGTAATTTCATGTTGGAAGTATGACGTGTGAAGTGTTGTGGGTTGAATATCTATAAGTAACAGCAAATAATTTAATGTAAACAGATCTGCTAGATTAGTACTATCTTTTAGTATGAGATTTTATACGATGTGATTGTATTTTGATGTATTTATCAACTAACTGTAATTAAAGCCAAGCAAGTAAGTAAAATGAGATGTTTCTAAATTTAAAATTGTGACAGTTTGTAAAATAGAAAAAGATCCTTTTTTCTGCCAATTTTTTTTACACATTACATTCAAACTGCAAAATAATATTGAAACTATAACTTTATAACTTTAAACTGTAAAAATAACTTCATAGTTTGAAAATTCACCACGAAGTGTCCAAATAGTAATCATACCTATCTAACATATGTAACAGGAATCCCAGTTGGTTAACTTTAGTCTCACTGTATCTTTAAGTATATTCTTTCTACATCCCTATAATTACATTTTTATCATTTGAAAGCCAGTAGGTGATATTTTTATCTTGAAGCTTTATCACCCACCCGGTGTCGTCTTATCTTTGTGTCTTGTGACAAGAAACGATGACGTATTTGAAAATATCTTAAATTAAACATACTGCTTTCTGCCAAAGTCTCACTCTTCTCGGATGTAACTCTTTATCAAATTCACCTCCTCCAGCTGAAATATGGCATGCATTTACAGATTCGTAGATTTCTTCCGATTCCCCGTACACCAATGTGTCAATGATATTTTGAAGCTAAATAACAATTCAGCCCCTGGCTAATCTTCTTGAAGCCATTTATCTGGGCAGAACTGTCTTGTACGTATTGGGTCTCCAGCCGTGTTAACATCAACATGTAGTCGAGTATCATCTGGGAGTTTCTACCTTGTATTCGCGAAAACTTTCAATAACCCTATTTTCGCCATGACTTACGTGGTTTACTGATAAGATTGCTTCCACACACTTGTTTACGATCCTTACGAGAAAATGTTTAATTTATGTGAACGAATTTGAAGTATATGAATCTCGATTGGAACTACTGCGTATCTTTTTGAATTCTTTTTGGGTAATCATTCTTTGAAAATTGAGAAGTAATGTGATGATCACATCGAAAGCTTATATCTAGATTCTTTAACTGTTAAGACTTCCGTCGTAGATCGATACAGAGTAGGAATTGAGAACTCCCAACTTCTTTCTACCATAGCTGTTTGTTCTTAATTGTGTGGATGTTGCAGCAGATACTTTGTTGTTTGTCAGAAATCCTGTTGCTTCTCTGGTATGTCTATCTGAATTAATGCAAGTTGACATCCTCCCAAGGGTCTTCCCATTCATGAATTTTTCGAACAAATACGGTTAGGCCGAGTTCTACGATCCAACAAACTTCACAAGCAATTCTTACAACGTTCCCCGAAAGAAGGCTTCCAATTGATCGATTTGCCACTACATCAAATCCGACAAACGTCTAAATATACCCAAATAAGCGGTCAATAACATTACACTCCGATCCAATACTGCAAATTTCACAAACCTTCGGAGATACACTAAATTCTGCTAAGCCTACCTGTATATAACGTTATGTGGCTTTTAGTTTTTTTTTTGGTTGCAAAATATTCTGCAGCATGGCCCATGAAAAAAAAAAGGGTGGCCAAGGCCAGAAATACAAAAAAAAAGCAATTTGGGGCGTTATAAGAAATCTCTTGTCAGATTAGGTTTGATGTGTAGATCTATTTATAGAATATGGGGAAACACGAAGCAAGATTCTTGTAATGGATACATTCTTTTTTGGGAGGGGTTGCAAATACTCAAAGGTTTAATAGGGAAATGATTTTTTTGTTTATAGCTGCAATGATATGTGCAATTCCGTACACCGACTTTGGATTAGAAGACACTCGCATATGTCAAGTTAGTTCAGGTCTTTTGCCTAAGAAAAATTATGAAATATGAGCGAGCCTTTCAAATGTGCATTTCATATATGTTTTTTTTGGCATAAGATGGTTGCATGTAAGTTTTTATCTTCCAGCTTGCAAAGTTTATCTTCTAAAGGTAGTGCGAATATTTCCAAAACCATAATCTAAGAATAGACCAAGTTCAATTGTTACCGGTTATGAGTCGCGTTCACCACTCTTTTCAATCACATTTTCAACACGTTGCCCAGGAAAATATAGTATTCTTGTTTGAGTTTATATTTAGCCATTCATATATTTCTTAGAATCGATTTGCAAACTCTCACATGCGAATTAAGTAGTCAAATAGATAAATTTCTTCATTCGCGTCTGTATACTTTGAACTACTCCAATATAATACTATTTATAGAATCATTTCTAGGTTCTTAACTTTGTGGTTTATTGACGGCATTATTACTGTTTTCGTAGTTGGTAGATGTGCCTGAAGGCTTATTGCGGAGAAAATATTTGATATCTAATCTTGATCGATCAAGATTGGCTAGATTAATGAACCCGACGACACATTTTTAGAATAAGAAAAATATGGTTTACAAACTATAGCACCTGATGACAAATGCTTCTGATTAGCTAAATGGCTGCAACATGAAGTTTTGTTTAAGAATTTCAGAGCTAAGAATATACAATTTACAATTTTTCTAAATATAGTAAACGCGAAACGTTTTATTTTTCAATATTTTTATTTCTATATTATTGTTTAATAAGGTTTCTTATTAATAGCGGGGATTGAATGATATCTAGAATCTATACATTAGATTGTTAATTACATGACTAATCTATAAGCACCCCTAGGCTTTTAAACTTCAAATTAAACGCGTCTATTTGAATGACCCAAAATAGTTGAACAATATTGTAAGTTTATTAATTAAATTAGGGGTTTTTTTCTCTTCGTCGTACCTCGTACCCTAAGTTGCCCTGTCACCAAAAAAAAATTGTGGGGGGTGTGGTGTTAGTCAAACTTAGTTTATATCAGATTGACAATTTAAACTTTTCTGTGCGTCTGATGTTGTTGTCTGTTGTTCTTGATAAAGAGGGAGAGATAAGGAGAGGGAGAGGGTCGTATAGCTGCTAAACGAATTGACAATTCTACAATTTCAAAATCAATTCAATTAAACTCTCTCCACCCATCAATTATCTTTCCAATGGTAACCAAAAAGCCCTATGTAATATTACTTTCTATATAGCGTTATGTAAAATATTAAATAGAATATATGTAAATTGTAATAAATAAAACAATGAAGTAAATGCATTAACGATAGCACAATCATTGGCCTAGCAAATCATGTAAATCTAACTTGTTTCTTTGGATCTTCTATTGTAATTGTATGACCTTCTTCAGGATTATAACTCCAAACATCTTCATTATTTCTAATATTATTACTATTAACCATCTTTAAATCAATTGTTAAATCATGATGAAATAAAAAATTATCAGACCCTTCAAATGCTTGAGGCAGAGATAATTTATAATTAGGTCCACTTAAACTATTATTTCTTGAATTGGTAGAAGAATTAGTGGATGAAGATTCAACTGATGTAGATGAAGTTGATTGCCGCCGACGTCTTGATTGATGTTTTATTATTTGTTGTTGTTGTTGTTGTACGGTGGGGATACTTTGCGAAGTTGAACTTCGTCTACCTTGTAATGCTCTTGATGACGGTATTGAACTCCGTACTTGAGATCTATTGATTCTTCTTGGACTCTTTTTCTTTTGCTTTTGTTTTTTTCCCTCTTGTGATGATTGTGATGTTACTGAAAAAGATCTTGTATTATGTGGTGGTGATGGAGGTGAATAATCTGTATTACTTGAGGATGGTACATAATCATTTGATGTTGAATTAGACCGTATTAGTTTATTTAAGTAATATATTCCTGTAATCTTTGAAAGCATATTTGGCATATATAAAGTGTACTGTAAGTTAATGATATTAAAGTAAGAAATAAAAAATTGTCAAAGTAAAGACCATTGAATGTTAATTTATAAAAAAAAAAATCATTGAAATATTAAACGGGTATTAAATAAATAAAATTATTTTTTTAAATAGAAACGAAAGAAGAATGAGAAAATTCATATTCCCTTAAAAAATAATTTTTACAAGGCAAACATCAAAAAAAAATAAACTCCGACCCGTCCCGCAGCCCGTCGGGTTTTACTGGTTTTAATATTAATATGGACCCAAAATCGATGAGTTATGTCCGGTCTTTGAAATCCTTAGTAAACTTACAAATCAATAGATCCCAAGAAATTTTATCTGATGCAATGGGTTGGCCCGGAGTAAGTTTGACTTTGTACACTGTAACAAGTTTAACATGTGTAATGGTCCTAATGACATCTATTTAAAGTCCGATAGTAATTGATTGGGTTACATTTCACAAATAGATCCTGTTTGTTTTAATAAATGAATCGGATTACCTTTGCCCACCCGTATGAAAATAAAAACACGGCTACTTAAAAAGGCTATATTTAAATATTCTGCGGACTATTATCCTCATAGGTCATTTGAATGACTATTCAAGGTTCAAGTTACCAAAAAACAACATAGGGGGAATTAACATGGTTCGTATAAAATTGCCCTCTACTTACAGAAACGACTAAATTTGCATAATGCCACAAGCAAGAATGTCTATAACTTCCTCTTCCTTTATGACAAGTCTCTTAGCCCATCGTTCTTTCCAACATTCAATAACGGAAGAGATCATCCTTTCAGAATAACGTGGCAAAGCCAGTCCGTATTTTGTAACTCATCTAGTTGATTATTTCCGAAGGCTCCATTGTTCTTGTGCATTGTACGTTCCATTCCATTGTTTCCCAGCCACTTTGTTGAAAAGATTCAAGCAACTTCCTGCATGCAAACGTTTTGTCTTTTTTGGCTTTAAAAAAATTTAAAAAGAGAAAATATTTCAATATTGGGGCTACCAATTTACAATTAGAATTATAAACGACGTGCATAATTTATCATGTGTTAGTTTACATCATATACTTTGTTAGTGTACCCCAACTTATAGTAACAATGGAAATTACAGATAAATGAGATGATTGCAAATGAGTACAGTGCAATGAAACAATCCCATTGACTTTTAAGATTTCTGGAGTCAGCTGGTTTTATTTTTTTGACTCTTTCAGCCCTTCGAGTCATTTCTTTTCAATACCTAAATAAAATTTTACACCGTTAGATCCGTCACCCCTCGGTGTTCCTAGTTTTAGACCGCAACTAACGGGTTTCTTTTTACTGGTACCAGAGTTGATCTGACCAGTGTAATTACGGTAATATTGTCTTTCAATTGATAAGCATTAGTAATATTATTTATTGAATATTATGAATCGTTTCCAGATTACCGTGTGTGACTATACACTAACGATTATCTCCAGAGATGGGTAAATCCCACTTCTTAAATTTTTTAATGTCCATGGCTATTAAAACAGCCTCGGTGGGAACAGCCCTCTAGAAGAATCTAAAGCGCAAATTGAATGGCTGGACTGATAGGAATCTACGGATCTATTCAAAGCCTGACACGTTCTGTCTGTGAGGGGAGATCAAGGGCAAGTATGGATGATAGGGATATGGAAAGTGAGTTACTTATGGAATATCGGGGTTTAAAAGTAGTGGCAAGATTGCCACACTACTCATTTGAAACAAAAAAACTAGAGGTGGTATCGACTGAGCAAAGAAATTGCTTATGACTCAATTAATTTCATTCTTAAATATCTATTACTGTTTGCAAAAACCATACTAAACAAATCTATCTAACTATAGTGGTAAACATTACCCAAAGTAATTGATTTGACAACAGTATAATCATCCACACCATAAAGGGAACCTTCTCTACCAAATCCAGATTCCTTAACACCACCAAAAGGTAATGCAGCATCAGTAAATAATCCAGTATTAACAGAAACCATACCAGTTTCTAAATATTCAGATATATACCAAATATTATTCAAATTTTCAGAAAAGACATAAGAAGCTAAACCGAATGGAGTATCATTACACCAATGTAATACTTGTTCCTTGGTATCGAATTTAACGATTGCACCTAATGGACCAAACGTTTCTTCATTAATAACTTTCATGTCTTGAGTTACATCTTTAATAACAGTTGGAGCATAGAAATTCTTACCCAATTTTGGTAATCTCCCACCTTCAACCAATAAGGTAGCACCTTTTTCTAAGGCATCCTGTAAATGAGTTTCAACTTTTTCAATTGATTTTTGATTAATAACACAAGCATGAGTTACCCCTGGTTCAAATCCATTCCCAATCTTAAATTCACGTACTTTGGCAGCAAACTTTTCACAAAATTCATCATATACCCCCAGTTGGACATAGATTCTATTTGCACAAACACAAGTTTGTCCCAATGATCTAAACTTAGAAGCAATTGATTGATCAACGGCAATGTCCAATTTCGCATCATCAAAAATAATAATTGGAGCATTCCCACCTAATTCCATAGAAAGTTTTTTCAAAGTACTTGAACTTTGTTTCATCAACAACTTCCCCACGGGGGTCGAACCAGTAAAACTAATCTTCTTGATCAAACTAGATTCACAAAATTTCAACCCCACCATAGGAGTAGATTCAATACTCAGTAATACAACATTAAACACCCCATCCGGGAATCCCGCCTTCTGGGCCAAATAAGCCAAAGCCAAAGAACTCAACGGAGTCTGAGCATCAGGTTTAAGAATACAACTACATCCTGCCGCAAACGCAGGTGCAGCCTTTCTAGCACCCATAGCACTTGGGAAATTAAATGGACATAATAATCCCACTGCCCCAACTGGTTGTTTGTAAGTTATGACCTTATTGTTAGGATTCAGCGGTTGGATAGTATGACCATACATTCTCTTAGCTTCTTCTGCAAACCATTCGAAATAACTGGCGGCATATTTGATTTCTCCAATGGCGTCGGTTAAACATTTCCCATTTTCCCAGGTGATTAAGGTGGCTAAATCGTCGAGATTTTCATGCATTAATTCATACATTTTTCTTAACCATTTAGCACGATCATATGGGGAGGTGTGTTTATATTTAAGGAAGGCTTCATGGGTGATCTTGATTGCTTCGTCGATTTCAGCTGGGGATTGATCGGGGAGTTCGGCGATAAGTTCTTCGGTAGCTGGATCGATTACTTGGAAGGTTTTGGTGGAGGTGGAATCGATCCATTTACCGTTGACGAATGGTTTTGTGCGGAATAATTCTGGATTCTTTAATGTTGGTGCCATTATGATTGTTGTCTATGAAGGAAGATATTGTTTAGAAAAGAAGAAGAGAGAAGGAAGAAAAGGAATTAGGTTTTCAAGAAAAAGTCAAGGTGGTTTTTATATTCATTCTTTGTCTCGAAGGCGAAAAAAAATATGGAGGGGTTAGCGGGGTGTGGCCGAATTAGGAAATCGTGCTTTCCGCGAACGCATCTTGTTGATTGCCGCCAAATACCTGTAACAAAAACATTTTGCTGCGAAAAAAAAATTGATCCAACCGGCTTTTCCCTATAAGCTTATTGTACTTCTCAGAAGCCCTATCCGTTACAATTTTATTACATACACTGACCACAGCAAGAGTTATTAACTTTGACAATCCTTAAGGTAAACTAATGTATGCCTCACTAGTTGATAGCTATACTGAGAGTTGCTACTTAAAGGTTTTACTTGACCCGTTAAAGTCCTATCTCTTTCTCGATCATCGCGAACAGTCGATCTGATGAGCTTTTCATCGAAATTTTCAATAAGTTCATGACGCAGAAGTCTCTACCGACGGGTTAACCAGTAATGTCACATGGGGCATATTAAAAGATGTTACATGTAAAGTTGCCTCCCATGACGGCACTAAGCCCTACTAATGTTTGATACAGAGAATATTCTAAATCTACACAAGCCAACAATTTGCTCAATGACTATCCTATTCACATTAAGGGAACAAAGCATGCTCAGTCCCCAACAAAGTGCAAACTAAATAAAAATACATAAACTTAACAACACTATAAAATCAATTCTAGATAAATAAAATAGAAAAACCCACTCAATCTTTATACTTCTTAATAAATCCTTCATGGAATTCAGTCCATTTATGAATCCATTCTTCACCAGGTGGTAAAAAGGTAGTTCTTAAATGCCAAGTTCCCGGCTTTTGACCAAATCCATTCCCAGGTACACAACAAATACCAGTATGTTCCAAAAGTTCAATACAATAAACATCATCAATTTCCAATCCTGAATTATGAGCTCTTGAAAATAATTTATGAAACTTATCTTCGGGGAAATTAAGACGAGGGAATAAATACATTGCTCCCATTGATTTATTACATTCAATACATTCCATTTCCAAGAAAGCCTTATATAATAAATCAGCTCTAATTTCTAAATCATTATGAATTGCTTTTGTTTCGGCTTTATATAATTCATAAGATTCATCACCTTCTTTTGGAGGATTAATCATTAATTCCATTAATGCTTGTCCGGAAACAACTGAACATAAATTGATGGAAGCAAGTTTGAATATCACATCTTTGACTTCGGTGGGGAAACCAACTAATTCCATATATCCACCTCTTTGACCACATTCTCCACTAACACCTTTGGAAGTAGAATGCAATGAGGCTAATTGGACATGTTCGTATGTTTTTGGTTCTTGTTCACGTAATTCACATAATATTCTCTTGAATGAAATGAATTTTCCTTTAAAAATATTTTCTTGATAAACTTCATCAGCAATAAGTACAATACCGAATTCAGCAGCAATATCAATTAATTCAATCATATCTTGTGGAGAAAGAATAGAACCAGTTGGATTACCTGGATTAATCACAACCAAAGCTTTGATCTTGATTCCCTGTTCTTGGCTTTCTTTAATGAGGCCTCTGATTTCTTGTGGGTTAGTTGACCAATGATTGTCTTCATCAAGATAATAACCGATTGGTTTAGCGTTATTTAATGCAATTGTGGCGGTATACAATGGATATTGAGGAATTGGAATCAAAAACCCCGAGTTTACGTCTTCAGATAACACTTGTAATAAATAGGAAACTGCAGTAGAAGCACCCGAGGTTAAAAAGATATTATTTGGATTAGAAGGATATCCATCTCTTCTTTCCATGAATTCGGCAATTGATTGACGTAAATAACCATTACCTTGAGAATGACTATATGCACCAATAGAACCAACATTCTTAAGAATAGTCTTACCTCTTTCAATTACATCTTTGGGAAAACCGATATCTGTTTCCAAAAGACCAGGATATTGTAAGGTTGACAATACTTGTCTATACCAAGTCAAAGGACGTTGTTCTAATTGTTGTGGGTTCCCAATATTAGCATTAATAATTTTGTTAAATGGTAATCCATGACTAGTTGGTTTTGATTTAATCAATTCAGATAATCCATCAGCAATTATTGGGATTTTCCCTCTGACTGCATATTTTGCAGTGACTGTCAGTGGGTTAAGATCATGAACAGTTAATGGAGGAGCTGGTTCGAATGTTGACAAATGGCGGGCAACAGTATCAGAAATAGCAGCAGCAGTAGGAGTAGGGGCAGTAGTAATTCTTGAAGGCATATTCTTTATAAGGGCTTGAAACTGACGTCTCAGTACTCGCGGCATATGGATAGTTCGTAACATATTTATAAATCAATTGAATGAGGAGGGGATATAATGTTCTTTATATATTAATAGGTAGTGAAGTTAAAAAAACCGTCGTGTATATTGAAAGTAATTTTCTTAATGTACAATTGATTAATTATTAATTAAGTTTTTTCTAAAGTGGAGATAATAATTAATGAGTAATTAGTCAAAGTGTGATGATAAAGGATTTTTTCTTGGGGGAAAGTTGTTGTTACCCGGATCTAATTTTAGCTGTTGAATGACTAAAAAAAAAACTCAAATCAAAAACTCTGGGGTAAAATCGAGGGGATTAATTATTAATTAGAATTTGATCTGTATCAATACTTAAAAGCAGTTTGGTGAAACTCGTTCGATTTGTAAAAGTATATCTGTAACAATGGTATTTCAAAATCAATTGCCAAGTAACCAAATACTGTGAAATTATCAGTCCCTTGATCGTAAGATTCGGAGTTCAAAATGTGACGAAAAAAAATCGAAAACTAAGAAAATAAATTGATCCCTCAAGAAATCTTCGAGTATTTATACAATCAGACAAATCTATTCAAATCAACGACAATCAAGTGAAAATTGGTTGTTCAATTTTGTAATTAATTAATTACAAATGGCACGAATTGCATTTGTATTACCTTCGGAGATATAATTGCGATATGTTATAAATGTTATAATTTAATTTTGAAAAAAATGCCTTATGGTGATATGATTCTTCGGTGATGTATTCCCGATACTAATTACCCCGTACCAAAAAAATTTTCGCGATAAAACTTCGGGTTGCCTCGGTAGATATCGGAGTTTTCGAATGGCTTATAATAGTACCTGCTTCTCTGAGCCCTGTCTTGCTTTCAGAGGTGGAAGTAAACTTCTAGGTATCCTAACACCTCAATGATGGCTGATGAGAAGCGTTCGAATTGGTGACTTGTCTTGAGCAAATCTTGTGGGTGTCCTTTGTGTAAATTCTATATACTTTGGACTGTCTGTTCGAGCGACGCGCTAGGGTCTGGCTCAAAGATCACATTTCTCTTTGTGTTCAATTTCCAGTCAATAACCAAGATGAGTAATCCTAAACGGCAATCCTTTTGTTGAATGTAAACAAATCAAAATTCTGTTACGATCACATGTAAGCTTTCTCGTTAACCTGATGCATATTGTGGAGTTCCTGGGCTTTCTCTCTTACACAGTCATTGTTAACAACAGTACCCGAATAAACGATCCAGAGATGTCAAATCTTGTTGCTCTGGCAACCCTGTTTTGTCCTGCGGTGTTCTTTGTGGCTACATTCATATAAATGGTTTTGCTTTCCCACCAGATAGATCTCATGGAAGCGTCAAGACTTCAGCAAGTGAAAAAATTGATCCCGAAAGAAATATTATTCTTGTCTTTGGTTCTTTTGGACTTCTCGGAATCTGGAAAGATTTTAGTGGTCTGAGTGCGCTGTCCTTATGCTGAGTTGGGTGGTTTTTTTTTATGATAATAGCTTGAAAGTCGTCTATGTATATATTCTATTACTGTTGGACTATCAGTTTGTGCCTAGAAGAAAGGAAAGTGTTAAATATTAGCAATTGGCATGAACTTCACTCATGAATTTTTTTTGTTCGAAAACCTGCGAAAACTTTGCAGCCAACAAAAGAATATGAGATCATGATGATGTTTCAATGAATGATGCTGACGGTATCTTGGGACCCTTTTTTATGTATTTCGTAAAACTATGCCAAGACGCAAGAAGGGTCTTCGGATATCAAGTTTGTATTCCGAAGGCGTTGGATCGTTCGTTAAAAAGATTCCGATTGCAGAACTATCCGGCATTCAGATACTTTACGAAGAAACTGATAGGTCATGCATCCTCCTCTAATGTATTCTCGTAAACATGTATTTCTAGTAACTATTAAAAAGGGATTACCGGATGTATAACGGAATATGACCCAACTTATCTGACCTTATTCAGCCCATTTATTTTCTCTCATTGTCAATCATCACCTAAGGTTACGGTTCGGGAGACTATACTTAGTAACTACACTCCGAATAAGTCATTTGATAGGATCGAAACTGATTACTAGTTCTATACAGATAAAATACGTTACTTTACTCACGAGCTGTACAAGAGGTGATGTCACCAATTTTAATCGCGTGCTACTATATTTTAGTCATCGCTTAACTTTTCGGCTCGGAAAACAAGGCCCACCATGCTGAATATATATTAATTGACTGGGGCTGTCGCTGAAGTACCCAAGTCTAGGTAGATAGGATGTAGAAGAAAAACAAATTTCTGGAGATAAATCTTATGGCGCAGTCTCTGCCCTATTATCCATATTTAGGAAAACACAACATTGAAAGAATTTGCAGCCAACAAAACCAAGAATCTAAAAATAAAATTAGAATCATAATGATCAACGAAAAAGATAATATTGTTCACGGGTTCTTCGGACCCTTTCTTACCATTTTCGTATATTCACACAAACATGGAGGAGAAGTTCGAATATGCAGCTAGTGATCCGAAGTCAATGCATAATTGAACCCTTCCGAAACCAATACTATCCGGTATTATATCAAGTTGCAAATATAGGTCATTGAATCTCTTGTATGCCAATTTTCGTAAAGTATTATTTATAGCTTCAAAAGGGTCTAACGGGTGTGTCATGGAACATATCCTTTTGTAGTGACTTTTGCAATCCGTTTACTTCCGGCTACACCATTCATTATATACTTTTGCGGTTCGGATAGGGCGCTTCCGATTCTAACTCTTTCTACAATAGAATTGATCCTTTATAGATATAAACTCTACAAAACTCTTTGTCGTCTGATGTCACAATGGTGATGTCGCCATTTGTCGGGACACAACGCAACCTCACATTGATAATTTTAGTCATCAATTAATTTTACGACTCGGAAAACTTGACTCTGACTCCGAATCATTATTTACGAGCTACTAGTATTGTTAAATATATTCACGAGGCATGCACCGATGCCTTATCATTTGCCAAAGAGGTGATGTCATCATTTGTAAATGACGCCGTGCTGCTGGCAATTATTATTTTCTGGAAACTAAAGATCAAGTCATATACGTTTATTCAGATAAGCGAGAAATTTTAGGCGATGTACATGATCTCATGGTCATTGAAATTAATAAAAACAATAATAAACAATTTAAGCCATTATCATCGCATGTGTCAACAACAATAATAAATGACTTTATGAGAGTAATAGTGCTGCTGCAAGTAAGTGATTAGTGCATGAAAAAGAAAAGAAAACATACCGGACTTTTAAGAACGGCACAAAGCTGTGGAGTTAAGGCACATATCGAGGGAATGGTGTTTTATCTTGTGATAGTGATGTCAAAGCGGAAGAGTATTTTTCCAGGTTTATACAGAGAATTATTTCACACGGCTCTATTCCATTAAAAATAAATGAATGCATACGGGCTTGGTGTCTGTTGATGTCACGAGGTACTATTTGGTTCAACTAGTTCTAGACTAAGAGATACTCAACCGACGTAATGCAAAAGGATCTGAAAGAAGTTTTGTACCTTGGCAGAGAAAATAGCCTGTGTGATTTCTTTATAGAGATCATAAAGCATACGAGTACATGAATGTGTCACATTTCCGGCTCTCCCTTTTAATAAAACCATGCCAAGACCAAAAATACCTAAAGGAATTTAATGCAAGATTATCGAAAAATTTAGCTAAATCAAAGTGGCTAGATCAAAAGATAATCAGATTATTTTAAGTCGGCTCTTATCTATCTGTCCCCCATCTGAAAGAGGACAATTCCAAAACAAAAACCTGCCATACGGCGTATGATTCACATATCCAGAACCATGACTCTCGTCGAAATGATGTTTACTTTCGAAGAGGTAGTTCAGAAAAGAAATCATCTGATCATTATATAAATGCCGTAGGAAGTTCCAAGAAGAAGAAGAAGATTGCCTCCCCCACGCGGGGGGGTGGACCTATTACATCATAGGGTCATTCTTGAATACAGCCGTAGATACTCAGGATGAAGTAAAATGGGGGGTTAGATATAAACAGTACACCAAATGGAAGTTCTAATCTGGTATCATCAGATTGAGGATGTAGATATAAGTAGAATTAGTTATGTAATTGAATATACAGTGTTGATAAATGCTAGTATGAGTACCTAAGTAAAACGATGACCTCAGTTTAATTCGCGACATTTTTGTAAAAATTTCAATTTCAAGTTTTCGCAACTAAAATAATCCAAAAAGAAATGCTGCAAAATATTCAATTTTTTTTAATCGCAGCTTTAGAAGAAAAAAGAGTGACCAAAGAACAATTATTTTTTGTTGGATTATTATTATGCAATGCAGTATATTTATTAGATTCATTATTTTCTATGCCATATGATGTATCAGCTGTTGAATAATATATGGGGAATCATCAAAAAAATAATCACAAAATACTAAAACACGGGGAAAAATATTTGGGTTGCTTAAAAAATATGTTATTTTTTTCGGATTTATGCGCATGATAAACCTTTGGATTGATTAATGGGATTAGCCGGCGGATTGTTTTTTTGTTAGAGATTAGAGATCATTCTAAGTGCATTAAAATTTCAGCTGCTAAAAGTTCGATAAATAATGACCCTATGACGAAATACATAAATTGCGATGAGGGAAGTAATGGAAGTATTTCGGAATCTCAAAGTCTAGAAGTATCCAGCAATTAATGAGCGTAGTGTGATTTGATTGCGAAAAAAAATAATATTTACCCCGGTATACATTCACTTAACGGTTGGCAGTTGCTTTGTCAACATGATACTAGTGATCACAAAAAATATACGGTGGCAATGGCGGTGGTGTGCTTTTCACTTTGAGGAGGGGAGGGTTATTTATTAGAGTGCGAGTGCCAACCACATAGAAAAATATGGCGAATGAATACCGTGACCATAATTATTGGGCTGCGACAAGATGCAAAGTGGTCAGTTTTATTTTTTTTTTGTTTGTGCATTGAATATGTTTGTGATTTTATAATTAAAAAAAAGGAGAGACATTGATCAATCAAAGAGAGTTTAAATATTTTTAGAAGTTTATTGTTTAAGACTGCGCTTTCCCCTATTACGTTTTATATACGATGAGAATCGTAAGACATATTCCATTCACATTCTATTTTTACAATATCGTATTTTGTAGATAGTGGTTGCACGTCTTGCAAAAGGTGGACATCGCCACATCAGATACTAGCTTCCTCAGGGAATTTATCGTATATCTAAGGTTAGGAATAACCTTCCGTTATAAGGAAAGTCTTTCCCCAGGAAGCAATCTAATCGACCTGCGACATTTTGTATTTTTTGGTTCAAATCCCACATAGGATTTCTTTTTTACGCGCGGGTCGAGACCACACAAAAATGTGATTTTTTTTTCCTTGGATAATGACGTCTTGCATAAAAATATTTCATCTAAATTTCCTTTTTCCTAGAAATAATTATTAATTTAATGGTTCCTAATCATTCATTATGGATGACTGCTCATCTCATGTTGTATTGAAACGGGATTCTAATTCCGTTATAATGACCCTGGTATTGGAATCTCGGGTACACAAAGTTTTAATACCGATAGCTAATTATTTGTTTGTGTGGTAAGTAATTAGTTTATTTTTTTAAGGTTATATTATTATGCACCAAATTATAATATTTTTTTAGTATTTTCGATATGCTGGTCTTGCATTGTACTTATACATATCAAAAAAATAATTGAATGTGTTAGAATAAAATAAAATAAAATATCATTTAAACTGCCCCCCCCTTAACAATTGAAATAATTACAAATATAAACCTCACAATTGCCGCACATAACTTACAAATCAAATACCACATCCATTTTCTTATAAATTGATTTAAACTTTTTTCATTTATATAAAAAGTCTATTAATTAAACTTTACGTGTAAAAACACTCTTTAAATTACAATCATACAAAGGGAACTTTCATTATACCGCCTCCCTTCCCCCCTTAGTACCAAACATTACTATAAACATTGATTGAGATCATATAACAAATAGCTTTTTTTGCTTAGCTAAGTAACTTTCACTTCAATACTTATTATAATTAACTACAAGCAAAATGTCACGTAAATGTTCATTGGCTATTGAATCACCAACAGATTCAACATCTTCAAATTGTCCACTTAATGCATTCTTACTATATAACAACAACAATAATAATAGTCTATCTGGTGGGAGATCATCCAATGAATCACCTACACAATATTATCAAGAATCTCCAATTTCAAGTACTGATTCAATAATGGGAATGACAGCTGCAAATATGCAATCTAATACTAGTAATATGGAATATGTTCATAAATCAAATTCATTACCAAATTTAAATAAAGAAGAAATTGGTTGTAATGTAACTAGATTTGGTAATAGAAGAATATCAATATGTGATTTAAATAATTTTAGTGATGAAGTATCTCACTTATCAAATAATCATCCAGGATATCAGAATTTAAGTACAAGTGATTTAAATGAACCATTTCATAGAACGAATACAGTTTCAGGATTTATGTTTCAAGCGGCTAATGATATTAAAAGTACTCCATTAGTTCATATAGATGATAAATTAAGAAGTTTTCAATTTAGAAATCATAGAAGGCGGAATTCAATTGCGTTGAAATTTGATACTCCAAAAGTATTATAAAATTCACCCTTATAAACATATCGCTATAGACATTTAACTGATACCCTTCATTTGATACCCCTTCATTACATTTATACTATTTATTCTTTGTAAATAAGGATTTATATATATGCACGTGACTTATTAATAAACATTATGTATAATAGTAGTAAATAGCCGCCGGCTTGATCAGTTCTAAACTTATCTGTATACTAGTAGTAAACTACCCCGGGATTAATTAGTTCCAAAGTCCCCCCGNGCTAATCAGTTCCAAAGTATAAACTATCTATAAATCTATTTCTAAAATGCCAATTAGAATCCAAGAATTGTTCTTTATTATAATTAGGTGGATTAGTTGAATCAATAATTTCAATATTTGATAATTTACCAATTACAAGATTAATCTTGGGGAAAACATTTAGGATTCTTCTAATCCCAATTTCTGTTGATAAATAACATATAAATATAATATCTTGTTCTTTTACTTTATGATCAAGTAATACTTGAATTGCCATAATTGCACCTGCACCACTTATATTATGAGAATCAAATAACATAATCTTTTTATGTTGGTCTAAATCTTGTGGTAAACTTTCAAAATGTAATTGTGGTTCTCCAGTTATTGAATCACTTTGAATTAATAATTTCCCCAATGGGATATCTGGGATTGATTTCTTAATTGATTTTAAAAAACAATCTCCACTTCTCATTATACTAATTGCAATATATTGATATAATGGTTTAAGTCCTTTGTAAGTTGCAACTCCAGTATCAATTTCCACCGGTTCATATTCTTGAGAATTCTCTTGTGCTAATTCGATTAATAATCCCGATATTCTATCAAAGAAATAAATGAATTCTCCTCTTGGTGTTAATTCATTAAACAAAATAGAATTTATAGCTTTAACTTGATTAGTATTAGGTAAGATATGAACTTTATATTCCTTAATATCAAACTTCATATTCATCCCCAATTTCTTCAATCTAACCAAATGATCTCTACTCTTCTTAATCAATTGATTCTCAATATGTTTGATCATAAGATTTATAGCAATTGAATTATCTAACCCTCTCGGAATGACCAAATCAGCATTATCCATAGTTGGATTCAAATATTTAACCGCATTTGGTTTTACAAATGTTTCCCATTGTTTAATTGCCCCAGCTAAATCACGTCCACGATATAAGATATCACGAGTCAATCTCCTGGCCAAACAAATATCTAAATCAGTTTGAACATAGATTTTCAAATCCATCATCTTCAACAATCTAGGATCATATAAGGCATATAATCCTTCTATAATTATAACATTCGCTCCATAGATAGTATGTGTCTTCTCGGTCCTATTATGTAAATTGAAGGAATAATCCGGGATTTCAACCTTCTCCCCCTTCTTCAATTTCTCAACCGTCTCAACCAATAAATCCAAATCAAGGGAATCAGGATGATCAAAATCAAAATTATTCCCAAATGCAAGTTTTCTCTCTTCCTCACTTAATGGATTATAAAAATTATCAAATGATAACAAAATCGTCCAAGGTTGATTTATCAATTGAATAATCTTTTGTGAAAGGGAAGTTTTCCCCAGACCGGAATTCCCAGCTATTCCGATTATATAAGGTTCTGTCCATGGGGGGATATATGCTGCATGTTGAGAAGTTGGCCCTGGGGAGAGGGTGTCATCTTCTATGGCGAATTCATCGTTGGATTGGATGATGAAGGACAGGGTTTCGCTCTGGTCGGGGGCGATACGGCTGTATCTTCTCCTAGGTGTTTCTGAAGGGGATTTACTGAATCTGGTTGGAGGATCCATTGGCTTTTGGTGGGGTTACCCAAATTCAAAGTGTGGAAAGGAGATGGGGATGATATTTTTTTTTATGTGGAATTATAAACCTCATCTCTCGCATCTAAAGGAAATTTCACTTGTAGTTAATATATAGGTGAAAATAACGAAACATAAATGGAACAATTACAAACAGGTAAAGGAGTGCGAAGAAGAAGACTTCTGCATGACTTCAGCGATGATGAGAACGTACATGATGAAATACTAAAAGAAATTGAGTCTGAAGCAAAACCTCAAGAGACCCTGCCAACACAACCACAAAATCAACAACCACAGAGAATACGATCTCAGCAATACCAGGAAAGACAATATCACAAGAAACCAAAACACCACCATCGATCTAACGAATATGAACTCCCCCAAGAATCAAAATCAAAACGTGACCTCCTCCATCAAAAATCATCAGAGCCTTATAAATCAATCAATTGGGAAACAGAACAATTCAACAAAGCAAACCAACTATCCCTCCAAACCGAAGATAAAATCTTACACGAGGATGCTGATCAAGCTGAATATGAATTCGTGTTTGATGAATCTCAATTTGTGAACTATGAAGAAGATGATGATGAAGTCTTACCTGGTGATGAATTGGCACAATCTACCATCGAGACGAAATTGAATGATATTGAAAAAGTGAGGAAAAGTTTACCGGTATTTTCATACCGTCAAGAATTTCTTGATATTTTGGAAAAGAACCAAGTGTTGATCGTTGTCGGAGAAACTGGATCAGGGAAGACTACTCAATTACCACAATATCTATACGAAGCTGGATATTGTCAGGATAATAAAATGGTGGCATGTACACAACCTCGTCGAGTCGCCGCCACCTCGATTGCGAATCGGGTTTCATATGAAATGAATGTGA